GTTTTATAATTAAATAATAATTATATAAATATAAATTATTTATTCAATATTAAATATTATATAATAATATATTTATAATATTAATATTATATTATTATATTTAATTTATATTATAATATGGAATCAAATAATATCGCGACGAATCGAATCCAGACAAAATTATATCCAAATTTATGTTGAATTGTGGTGTCTAGTTCCGAAATAAACAAAATGTGTTGGGTTAGATAAACCGTAGATGATACAAAAAAATATCTCAAGGAACATAATAGATATATTCTAAATATTCTAATATATTTCAGATCGAAAAGATGACATGGATATTTAATGATATTTATAACACATGTTTTTTTCCTTTGATTTTTGTATTCCTAGAAATTTGATGAATTTTGGTGTTTCTCCTCCACAGGATTCAATTTTAATATGTATCTTTCCAATTATGCCATAGGTAGGATGAAGAACAAATATGAAAAAATATTGGATTCCTTTGAGCCACTGAAGTCCATTGAAGACCATTGAAGAACTACGTCCAAGTGTACCCTACTAGGAAAACTGCATTGGCAATAATACCCAAAATCAAGCTGGAATATTCAAAGTCACTGGAACATGAAGGTCCTACCTAGGGCCTCTAGAAAATCAATGCAACCACCTTTTGTATCTTTTGTGCCCGCAACCTAGCCAGCCGACCACCGCTTGGAAAAAACATGAAAAAACGCAGCTACACAGTTCCATTTCCTCCTTGACCCTGTTATTTGTTCAATCCAAGGATGCCATCCACAAATTGTTTTCGCTTGCGGATGATGCCGTACCTCACAAGGAGTCAAGGAGTCAAGGATGATACAGGGCAAAAACCGCAGCAATCTACCCCACCCCACCCAAGGTCTTGTCCTCATCTCAGGGGGAAGTGAAGCAAGCGATAGCGTTGCATGGAGCTACATCCCTTAGCCGCCCGGGGGCGCGGGGGTTGTTTGATCTGAGCTAGCACGCCCCCGGAGAAAATCTAAGGAGGACTTGCACGAGACAAACATGAAACTACCAACATCCAGTGTCAACAATACTTTTGGACATTCTTGACTATTCTTGGTGATCTCCTCATGATATCTGATGATCATCATCGCAACATATCGCAACTATCAAGGCTCCATTCAGGTTCCCTGGCCTCATATGGAGACAGATGTTTTTGGGAACATCCTAGAACGAATTGCCATCATAGACCTTTGAATCCTTAGATATGGCAATTAATTAGTTACCCTCTGGTTATTTAACATAGCCATGGTATAGATGGTTTACCTAGCTATCAAATGGTGGATCTTTCCATGGCTATGTTAGTCATAACCAGAGGGTACCTCCAACAACAGAGTCCACGATTCCTGAGATTCCCGACCGAGGAGGGCGCGCGCAACAGGTCACGCAGGTGCAAGACCGGCTGGCGACGGGTGATCTTTGGGATCCGGATCTGCGAAACTTTGGGATCTTTGGGTCATTCAGGTGCTTCATTATCTTCATTTCTTCCGGATCTGCAAGCTTCAAATTTGGAAACTGCACATATTGGTGAGATAAAAAATAAAAATAAAATCAAATGCCAGGCCTGTCACATGGTTTCGGACAGTCTGGGAATTTGTTTTGAACTGCTCATGTTCTTTGCTGATGGTATTCTGTTCGCAAGGGTGAACAAACAAGTGACGCTCCCAACCCCAAGCCCGTCATCACACATCATCAATATACAAATAAGGACATGACAAACTTATACAAACTTAGCAACTCTTCCCGGCCCCCTAGGCAGTGGGGCCAAAAACAACCCCTTTGGGTAACTCTGTTAAAATAAGGCTTTCAAGCATGGCATCATCTACCACCATGTGCATTGGCAATTGGCATCGATAGTGCAATTTGAAAGCGCATGGCCCGGTGTCCTAGAATGATGTACCTGCAGGTCAACATGCTGAAACAAAGCCCGCTTTTTCCGAGCGTGTCAACTTCATCCCTGAAGTACGAAGCTAGAGCATGAGAATGACATGATAAGAAACTCTCCAGCTAGGGCAGAACCATGACGAAGTGGTCTTTGCCCATGATTTTCCTTGACTTTCCAGCTTCATCGATTCATCTGACTTCCACATGAAACTTCGCTCCATCTTCCAGCTGCCCCATCTTTACCCGACCTCGATCTCTTTGATGAAGCGAATGGTCAGACCTGGGCCACGAAGCGGACAGACCTGGAGTCACCGGACATCTGGCTGATGAAAACATGGGAAGGCCCAATCTCCTGGCACCAATGCACCAAGTGACGCACACGTTCCTTCACAAGCATGAAGCCCTTCTGATGTGCCTGGCACAGCGAAACTAGGGATGCTTTGTTGATATTTGAGGTGCAACGGCGATGCAAATGTGAGATGTAAATTGCAAAGCACATGACTCATGACGTCAAGTAATTTTTGGGAATGCTGGGATTTGCCTATTTGGACACAATACCTTTTTCTGTATACATATAGAATCATATAGATACTTACACAACAAATATCTAAACATTATATCCTATCATGAGCCAGATTGAATTCCACAGAACCTTTTTTGCGTAAGAGATTACTCAATAAAAACCACTTTTATCCCCAGTCATCATTCTTCACATTTCTTCACGATTCGTCACAGAGGATCAAGGTCACTTATGGTCACCTGGCAGTTGTCAACTAAGTTGCAAAGGCATCATTCTCAAAGAGCTGCATGAGCCGTGGGGCCTCCTGGGTCAACAACGTGTTGCAAAAAGGATGGATCGTAAAGATACTGAACACGAGCCCGCTTTACTGAGCTGTTTTTAGCGGGTACATCCTGGTTCCTAAACACCTGGCGAATCTTGGGAAACATAAGCCTTGCAGCAACGACGAACTTCCGAGAACTTAGCAACGACCATTCTGCGTTTTGAGACCGCTCATCAGCACTGTGCCCATTCTGTGGCAGGATTCCAAGATCTTGGATCCCCGCGAAGTTCCTGTGCACCTACTCGCGCAAGATCGCGAGAGCGCGAAGTTCCATTGATGGATCATGAGTCACTGGATTGGATTAAGGGAAAATCTTAACCGGAAACCCATGGGTTTTTACCATCAAATATAGGGCTTTCCTGTAAATTTTCCCATCATCCAATTCTATGAATGAGGAATTCCCATGCTTAAAACAATGGCAGCCATGATTGCTTTGCTCTTCTGAGTCATTTCATGGTCCATCAATGGCACAAAAATCCTGCAGTAAACTACCAGTGCAAAGGACCATATATTCAAAATATTTCAATATATTTCAATGAGGACAATATATATATATATAACCTACAATTTTCCTCAGATTTCCCCGCCAGGTCTTGTACTGCTGCAACAAAAGATGCGTAAATCGCAAAAGTTGGTCACGTCTTATGCCAGCTTCTCATCTCCATGACCAAAGCATCAGCCTCAGCAAGTGTCTCTCGCTTCCATTGGAGCCGCTGATGTGAGGAATGGACGCCTATAATTCTTGGTACATGCCAAAGAAAACTGAAGCAACACAGCAACACCTGTTTCTTTCTGAACATGTGACAGTACTGGACTCAAATTAGGGACACTCACTCCTTCCCCCGCTGTCTTCTCTCAAGTCTCATCAAAGCCAGGGGCATTTTTTCGTGGCACGCTGTAGCTAACTCTTGTAGCCTGCCTGCCACACACAAGATGTTCAAATGTGCCCCAAACAAGTCTGGTTCAGTGGGACAGCCTTCCCTGGAGAGGATTCCGTCTTGTTAAAACGGTAATATGATGTAACACTTGCAGTCCGAGTTCAAGTACATTTTTTTTGCATCTGATGTTGAATGATTGCCACTAAAACGTTTCACTTGGTGCCATATCCTCCGGAAATCAAATATGGCTTGCGGGAAAATCACCACACATCATCATATTTATCGATTTTCCCATGAAAGCACACACACACACATATATATATATACATAAACAAATAAACACATAAATAACTAAATAAATAATCACATAAATACATAAATAGATACATACATATATGTTTATATCTATATATACACATATGCATACACATGGAAGCCATCCAACATTTTTCTGACACCTCCAAAAAATTCGTTCATCGCAACCATGTGTTTTCCGGCCTCACCGGGACGGCCCAATTTGGCCCACGAGGCGCGGTTGTAGTTCAAGGCACATTGCTGTACGGCTTCACCCAGGGTGGGATATGGATGCACCGTGCGGGCCTGGTGGCTGGTTTCGAAACGTGGGTTTTTTCGGTGTCGTTATATTGGAAATGATCTGCATAAATTATCCAAGACTCATAGATCATTAGATATTAGTTAGATATCCAATAGATATCTATCCAAGATTCATAGATCTATAGCTATATTAGTTAGATATCCAATGCTTGTCAATGCTTCATGTATCAATGTAAGCTCCTTTTTTTGCCTTCAACCATCGCAGCAAAATCAGACTTCTCCGAGTTTGAGACCCCCTAGGGCCACCAAGGCTCAATCTGAGAAAGTCCAATGCCATGCTGGATGGCCAGAGTTATCTCTGCCAACCTGCTGATTTTGTGAAAGCCGGCTGGTAGGGTTCAACCCAAACATATAAAGTCATAATCCCTAGAAAAGCCTTCCAGTTTTGTAAACTCCTTTGAAGATGTTTCTCTTGTTGAGGAATAGGGTTTGCAGTTGGCAGCTGTGCTTTCGGCTTACAGATATGCTCATAATAAGTGATTGTAGCAAACATGGCTGTCAGCCATCATTGGTGCCTCATTGTATCTAAGACGATCTGGTGATGATTCTGGTTGTCAGCCAGCCCCGATCGCCGTTAAGTCTACTAATGTTTCACCGCCCCCACCCAGTGTTTTCAAGTATTCTATATGTGAACGTTTCAGAGATGTTGTGCAGGTTTCAGAGATGTTGTGCACGTGTCAGAGATGTTGTGCACGTGTCAGAGATGTTGTGCACGTTTCCCAGTAGTTGTGCACGTTTCACAGAAGTTGCGCACGTTTCACAGAAGTTGTGCACGGTTCACACGCCCCCTATAATGTTCGTGTTCAACTGCATTGGGGCGACCAAACACGTTCTCCCGATATAAATTCATTGATCGGAGAGACGGGTCAATGTGCATCGCATCCTCCATCATAGCATGGTGTCATTTCATGCGTTTGTTGGCATGAACTGAAGTAATTAAAAGGTCTGATGTTGACCACCAACATAGTACTAGTATGGGAACTTGGTCAAATATGATCTATTGGCAACCATAATCAGGACTTCCCATGGTTCAGGATAACAACATATCTGGTGCCCAAATGGTCAAAGAATCAGTTTGAATTTGTTGGTGGGATATGGATGCCCATAGCTACCTTTCAGCGCTCCCTCCACTACCAGACTTCTGTGAAAGGCACATTTCACCAGCATGTTCTGCAACGATGGTGGCCCCCACTATCTCTTCGGTGCCCTTGCGGCACAGGATCTTCACATAGCCTGAAGCTCGGAAGTAGCAGTCACATGGAGCATCTTGGAAAACATTGCAAATGGTGAAGTCACGCGCAAAAATCTCGTTTCGCCAACACCACTTGAGGGAAGGCCCATTGGGTTTAGGCTTTTGTTTTAGGTTTTACTGTAACTGCTTGCAAATATGGACACATGCAACTTTTGAACCTCCTGCAGTGGTTTCAGAACTACCAGTTATGTATATCTATATATATATAATATATACATATTATATACACATACATGATTAATTATATATATTTACATATGATGCGAAGGTTTAGGGGTTTTAGGGTTTGCGGGCTTACAGTACGTTCACGTGTAAAGTATAGAAATTGTCCAATTTCTTCTGGAAAAAATCTCCAAGTGGATTTTTCATTCCCAGGTAATTCCCCAAAGGCACCCTCAAAATTCATTTTTTTTGATTGTGTTTTTTTTGGCATTTTTATTGGCAAAATCAAAAAAATGAAAACTAAATAAAAAAACATGTTTATTTCGGGGAAAATAAGGCTTTTCCAGATTTTGGACAATTCCTGTTTTCTCACCAAAACGATATATTTGATTTTTTATTTATTATGTATCATTTAGATTTCGGTTTTCCTTTTTTTCGTTTTCTTTTTCATGTGGATTTTGGTTTTCAGTTTTTTCATTGTTCTATTGTTAGCTAACTTTAAGAGCAATGAAACCATATGCTCTCGAAGACCCCTAGACGTGAGGTACGACATAGCCATTTTCCAGTACGCTGGGAAGGAACGCAGGGTTAGGGGTAGGGGACGCTTCTGCAGATTCTTTTGTGTTCTTTTGATTTTCTTTTTCATTTGGATTCCGGTTTCATTGTTTTTCATTTGCATTTTCATGTCAATGTTTTGTCACACGTGTTCATTTTGTTCAATTGTTTTTTGGTTTTCATTTTGATTTTCATGCTGTCAAACATATTCATTTTTTCATTTTTTTGTTTCCTGTTCATTGTGTCATCGTCCTAGTGTCGCGTTATGCTGTCTTATGTTTGCTTCCTGTTTGTGTTTGCAGTTACATTCAAATTGTTTTATTTTTAACATGTGCCGCATCATTTTTCCAAGACATTTTGGCTGAGGAGCACAGCAAGCTTTGCTAATGAACAAGATACATGGATGTGAAGCCAAACGAAAATCCCAATGAAAATCCACTTTGGCAATGAACATTTATTTATGTTTTATGAACATCATGTAAATGAAAACGAAGAAATGAACCAAAAACAGAATTAGTCTAACTTCGCTCCAGAGAGGCTGCAAGATTTTCATAAAACTATACAATGTGGGGCCCCCTAGATAGCTAAGTTGGTTTATAACTCCAATAACTATGGTTTATGGTACTTATAACTATAGTCTATAGTTACTGGTGTTTATAAACCAACTTATAACTGGGGGGCCCCACATTGTACACAAGATACACATTCCATCCAAGTCTCCTCGTGTTGTTCCTTCTAAGATGGCACGGTCATTGTGTTCGGTGCTTACCTTGAACACATCCACCTCCAAATTGGCCCGGCTCGCCAGCTTCTCCTGGGCCGCATCCAAATGCGATATGTCAACGTATATGATACACATATAGAAACATATATATATATAATTATATATATATGCAATGCGATATATATTATATATACGTATATACAAATATACATGTAGAACATGCTAACCTAATGTGTTCCTATATACTACATATCTTACATCTTTGCAAGAAATTCCGACCTGTCTAATGAGAGAGGGCCCAGGCCCAGCATATGCAGCTGTAGGTGGATCCTCACCTGGCTTCAGCCACCAAAATTCAACATGTCAAGCCATATACTTTTAGTATAGCAATAGGATCCACCATCCCCCCCCAAAAATATTAATGTGGTATGAATACGTATGAATACCATCAACCCATACGGGTGGGTTGAATGGTTGTATTGCTTTACTAACATTACATCCATATCATACCCTCTGGTAGTTTAACATAGCTGTTGAAAATGGACCATTTATAGTTGATTTACCTATTCAAAATGGTGATGTTCCAAAGTTTTCTGTAAAAGTTTACCAGAGGGTAAGACCCATGATCACCCCCATGCCCACGTTATTCCACGTTATCCCACCGTTGTGCTCCAGCGGCATTGGACACACCACATGAAGCAACTTCCGGCTCAGTGTAGGTACAGCGCGGCACCACCAACTGCGACAGCTTCCGTGATGCGGCGTTCACCGGCAGAGCATCGCTGTCACCGAAAAGGGCAGTCCTTCGTCGAGTCATAAGACAGCTCTTGCCCCCGAACTGTAGGACTATAATGTATCCATTTCCCTAATCCATCTATCTGCAAATCTATGATTCTATTATCATCTGTAAATCTATATAGTTTACTTTAATAGAATTACCCTAGGCGTCAATGTTGAAGTTTACCTCCTACGCGGACAATGTTGATGTTTGTGTTGGTTAAACATCGACATTCTCAATGTTGATGTTTAACATTGTTTAACCTCTGTGAAGAAATCTATGGGCCTTGGAAGCGCGATGAAGTGCAAAATCATCATACAAATTACCCTCTGGTAAACTAACATAGCTATGGAAAATCACAATTTTTAATGGGAAAATCCACTATAAATGGCCATTTTCAATTGCTATGTTAGTTTACCAGAGGGTAACCTTTCTACCAGTAGCTATCCGTCGAATGGTAAACATCTCATCGATCAGAGCCACGGCTCTGCACTGCCATGCCCGCCATCGTGCCGGACATGTGGGTAAATCTGGTGTCTGGGCGCTCAATGACCTGGTCGGACCAGATCGATGTGAGGATTTTTCATGTGGCTTTTGCTTGTGTTTCCTGTAGGAAAATGATGGGAAATGATGGGACAATCACTGGAACATGATGATTTCTTTAATGTCATCACTGAATTTGAGTGGTCAGAAGATCCAAAAGCAACCGTTTAATGTGGATGTATGGTCACCCCTTTCAAACCCACTCGACAAACGCCATCCAACAAAGACCTTCTGTGAGGATGGTGTGGATCATGCAATGGGCCAAACTTGGGCAAGCCTAAGTTGCCTGGCACAAGTATCTGTATAAAAATCAAAATAACTGCCAAATAATGCCCAACATATTTTGTTTTCACAGGTTTTATTCATTGGACCTCTCATGGTACCTCCAGAGTAAACCTCTGATGAGTAAAACCCGATTGACTACCCTCTGGTAATTTAACATAACTATGGAAAATCACCATTTTTCATGGGAAATTTCACTATTTCTATGGCCATTTTCAATAGCAAACTGTTAAATTACCAGAGGGTAATGCTCGGGCATTTACCAAAACACACTTTGACAAAAATCACTAGCACTTTGGATCCCACCATTCATCACCGAGGTTGGTTTGGACAAGTCTGACCAAGCGGAACATCCTGAATTGAATTATCAATTTAGTTCAATTTATATCATTTATATCCATTTACTTTCAGGTTTAGATATTCCATGAGTTTTGAAATTCTTCACTTGCAGTTTCCCAACCACCTCAAATGACCATTTCGGGTAAGATTCCCATCCAACTGTCGCCCCAGATGCATCTCCAATGGCCAAAATGTCCGGATTGGAAGTCGTCAGGTCATCCTTGACCTTGACACCGCCACTGGAACATTCGACGTTGGCGGCTTCCAAGCCGAGGCCTTCGATGTTCGGAGTCCGACCAGTTGCAACCTGGCACCGCCCAAATGACCATGTGGATGCTCTTAGGGAACTCATCTGTTTATTGGTTTTTCGGGATGAAAAAAGGGGGATGTTACGGATGTTCATGCCAACATCCTTCACCTGGAGAAGCGATCAGTTGCTAAATGTTGTTCATGGCTTTCAGGATGGTTTCAGGATGGTTTCAAACATGTATATCATAACCCATTAACAACCCATTAACAACATTTAACACGCCATTTCCCAATCCTCCACCGGGCCACCAGCAGTGCATCGCAAACCATCTCCACAGGCGCCGCACCCGACACCGCCACCGTCAGTCGAATCTCCGGCCCACCGCTGGAAGACTCTAACCGGTGGGACACTGAAGAGACCGAGCAGTTGGTGAAGACCTGGATGCCTTCCTGGCAGATCCAAATGGTTCTTCCTGGGGACATATCGATCAATAAAGATACACCTCAAAATACCTCAACCTGGAATAAACAACGCCTATCCGAATCCGAGTCTCATGGATATTCAACATTGGCGATCAAAACGTTGTCATTTGATGCAGCCCAGGTCTAGCCACCTGTTATATATACACTGTATATATATATATATATACACTTTGTATATACATACATATATATTATATATATATATATAAAAAACACACATACATACATTGGAAGACATTCAACCTACATGGTCGTACGTCGTCGATTTCAGCGCCTGACTCATCCTGGAATATACTTTGCACACGCAACTGCCACAAACATCACCCAACTGCCGGAAAGTAAATGGCAAATACAGCCCAGCATCTTCCCGAAAGACCTCACGAATCAATGCTGCTGCATCGCTATCCTCAGCTCCCATGATCTCGGGAGCTACTTCCAACACGGTGACCTGGCACCATGAACTCCAGGGACTCAACCAGAATCTTTGGTGGGTTTCCTTATTCATTAGGGCCTCATTAGGGCTATTGGGGCTAGTGGGATGATCTTCTTTGGATTACAACCAGTATCACGGGATATTTCGCATCTTCTTTTTATGCGAGCCATGGAAACGCCTCGGCTTCTGGAGCCATGCCAAAAATCATGCAAGTGGCTTCCTAAAGTCACAATTAAGTCATTTTGGGAAGAGTAGGGTAAATCCACAACTCCTCAGTTGGGGGATGGTATTGCCACTCATGAAAATGGCAATATTGTTGGGATCGTTAAGGATACCCATTTATGGTAGTATTGTTGGGATCAGGGATAGTCTATTCTTGGGTTTCACACACTATTTTGGATCCAAGTGAGCAATCTGGGAAACTCAAGGTTCACGAACAGGGACAGCCATAAATTTGGGAAGGCCCCATCGCTTACAACACGTCTGCAGAAAAATGACCTATGGCAATTTTGGGGGCTATCGCTTAAGTGCAAATGATGTATGTGCACAGGTACGACACAACCTTCAAAGGGGTTATCGCTATTTGGAAAGGTCTCATCGCCTGCCTAGTATTAAAAGTATGCAATTTATGAAAACCAATGTCAGTCCCTGATATGTTTCCAATTGAGTTTTTGAGGTGACTCAAGTGGTTTTTCAAACTCCAAAACGGTGAAAATCATGGCCATTGAAAAACATCCCATTCAGGGCTTGGTAAATGTCCGAATTAAACATCACCGAAAGGCCTTAAGGGGATAAAATCTCCAGCAAATGCTTGAAGGTGATGTAGAAAATATCACCAAAAAAGAACCATTTACCCTCTGGTAATTTAACATAGCTATTGAACATGGCCCATTTATAGTGGATCTACCCATTGAAAATGGTGATTTTCCATAGTTATGTTAGTTTACCGGAGGGTATTTAGACCCATCCCCTCCCATCCCACGGCGCCTCGCTACCAAATCTGCGAAAGGCCTGTGCCATTTCCAGAGAGATGGGCCCTGCACCCAGCACCATGAAACGCTTGGGGAGTGCGGTGAGGTTGAACAGCGTGGCGTTGGTCAGGAAGGGCGTCTGCCTCAAGCTGCACCAGTTGAAGCTATGACTGGTTTTGAACCCTTTACAGTCGTTGAACCATAAAATATGTTCTGGAACACTTAAAATTCAAATGCATTAAATCAAATGCACACACAGATAGATAGATTGATATATCATGCCAACGAGTAATCATTATCCCACTATATTCCCATTATAATCCCATTATAATCCCATTGTAGTCCCATTAAATCACCGTAAACACCATTATAATCCCACTTATATTCCATGACATCCCATCATTATATCCCGTCAATATCCCTGTTTTTATAGATGAAATCTATATCTATCCATCATTATCCCATCATTATATCCCATTAATATCCCTCTTGGTTAAATAATTAAATGCAAAATCAAAAATATCCATATTTTTATATATATATATATACATATATAAATACATATAAATATCAAATTTCAACAAGTCACATATATTTCACCTCAACAAAAATCCCTAAAAGCACAGCCGTCGCGGCACTCCAAGCCCGGGATCGGTGGCACTTTCGCCCGGCCGCCCGTGGCGATGACCGCTTTGCGGAAGCGCAGGTGGCGCTCCCCGACGCGGAGCTCGTGGGGGCCCACGAAGGTCGCCTGAAACCATGGGTCAACATGGGGAAGGGCCACAGAATTTCATCATCTAAATATCTATCTGATCAGATCTATCTATCTTTCTATCTTTTAATCTATCTTTCGATCGATCTATCTATCTCTCGATCTATCTACCGATCTATCAATCTATCTATCGACCGATCTATATCTATATATCGACCGATCTATCTATCTATCTATCGATCTACCGATCTATCGATCTACCGATCTATCTACCGATCTATCTGCCGATCTATCTATCTATCTATTTATCTATCTATTTATCTATCTATCTATCTCTATCTATCTCTATCTATCTCTATCTATCTCTATCTCTATCTATCTCTATCTATCATTGTCTATCTATCCATCTATCCATCTATCTATCTAATCAATCTGATCTAATCGATCTAATCCATCTATTCCATCTATTCCATCTAATCCATCTATCTATCTAATCAATCTGATCTGATCGATCTAATCCATCTATTCCATCTAATCCATCTAATCCATCTAATCCATCTAATCCATCTAATCCATCTAATCTATCTAATCTATCTAATCTATCTAGCTATCTATCTATCTAGCTATCCAGCTATCCATCTTTCTATCTATCTATCTAACTATCTATCTATCTATCTTATTCTTATTCTTATCGTATCTTATCTTACCTTATCTTATCTAATCTATCTAATCTATCTAATCTACCTAATCTATCTAATCTATCTAATCTATCTAATCTAAGCTATCTATCTAATCTATCTAATCTATATCTATATCTATATCTATCTATCTATATCAATCTACCCTATCTATATCTATCTATCTATATCTATCTATCTATATCTATCTATCTATATCTATCTATATCTATCTGCCTATCTATATCTATCTATATTTATCTATATCTATCTATATCTATCTATATCTGTCTATATCTATCTATATCTATCTATATCTATCTATATCTGTCTATATCTATCTATATCTATCTATATCTATCTATATCTGTCTATATCTATCTATATCTATCGATCTATCTATCGATCTATCTACCGATCTGTCAATCTATCTATCGACCGATCTATCTATCTATCTATCTACCTATCTATCTATCTATTAAAAAACAGAACAGTAAAATCAATTTCGAAGACAGTACATAAAAAAAAGTGTGCTACCTTTTTGGCGGGTGCTATACTGCATGGGACCTGAACTTGAAGCAACAACTGGTGATCTTTTGGGCATCGATGTAGCAGTAAACCACCAAAAAAGGAGACAACAATTGGGCGGTGATTACAAGATATTACACGTAGAAGAAAGAGAAACTTGGGTACAGAGTAGATCATAGATGACCATAGTAGTATGCTTAACATTATACAGTACCAAGGATCCTTAAATTTGGGGTGTGAATATTTGAAAACCATAGCGATATGGTCAACAAACTCATTGCAGGAAAAAACAAAACTGTTCGAGTATCCAGGTTTGAATTTCACCTATGGGGTCGAGAACCTCATTTTGTACCAGTGTCTCAAAATTCCCAACTTCCGCCATGAAAAATGATGGTTCTCAACCTCCAGAGGATTACGGAAAATGACAACATGATACTGCTACAAAATGAAGATTGGTTTTTATCATGAGGTTACTTGAAGGGGAAATTCCGCCACTACAAAATGAAGATTGGTTTTTATCATCAAGTTACTTGAAGGGGACACTCCACCACTACAAAATGAAGATTGGTGTTTATATGTTTTTCATCATCAAGTTACTTGAAGGGAACACTTCCGAAGGGCAACTTCCCTCCCTACAAAATGAGATTGGGTTTTTACGTTTGTCTTCCGATGGGCAAATTCTCTTGCTACAAAATGACATTCGATTTTTAAAGGTCTTTCAGCTACCGAAACGTTGAAAACTTATAAAATGCAATTCCCATGCTGTGGGTACAACATGCCTGGCCCATCACCATTTTTTCATCTTAATTTAAGCCCGGAAATGCCCTTGAAACGGGGCACAAGGCCTCCCATTCTGTAGTTGAAATTCGAACGGGGATGTTCGAGTGCAAATCACACTGCACCAAGATCTTGAAGCGACCATTTTGCCTCTTAATCTATCCTATTTATTTGGCTTACTAGGGAATGGGGGAATGACCTGTAATAACCACTGGCAATCATCCCATTCCCCCATTGCCTACTAAGCCCCGTTACGTTGGGGGGAAGGCCTCCAGTCATCGAAAACCCTTCCAGTTGTATCGCGCCTTTCCCATGTAGACATCGACACCCACCGCCTGGGACGTTTCATGCGAATCGACCGGGGCAATCTCCGCACGGAGGCGTCGCATTCCTCGAAAAAACCCAGGGCGGAACGCCAGTTTTTCCCCTTTTTGAAACAGTTCCAAATATTGGTGCGTCAAGATGTCCCAAGATCTTGCTATGAACCAACTTTGCCAAGGCTATACCAAGGCTCTTTCCATAACTTTGCCAAAATCCACAGCTGCAGTGCAGTCACTGAGTCCCAGATCGCCTCGCCGAAGTTCCGCCACGGCGCGAGCACAGCGAAGCAAAGCTTTGGAGGGCACGCAGCCCACGTTGAGGCAATCTCCTAGCACGCTGGCAGGTGGCACCAAGCAGCTCCTGCAACTTAGAGTTTCAAACAATAAACACATGTTAAAAGTCGATCCCAAATTCTGGTTCAACCTTTCAACCAAACAACTATTTCCAAGACAAGCGGACAAAAGATGACAAAAGTTAATAACTCAAGTCTTTACAGTACTTTTGATCCTATTAAAATTCGATACCTTTAGTCCACCTAAAACCATCATGCACCAGCCCCGCTGCCAGATGTTGCCAGCTCCTCCTGCCAGGTGCTGTTCGATCAACGCGCTCCTGGCCCCGCGCCGCGCCGATTGCTTGGCCGAAACAAGGCCACCGGCGCCGGCGCCCACGGCCACTAAGTCGTAGACCTACCGACGCCGTGGCGGGGTGCAAATGGCAAGAGGTTAGAGGTTGACCCGCGAGATCCACCATTTTGGGTCATTTATAGCTGTAAAACTCTACTTTTCAGTGGGTGTTGTACTTTTCAATGGAAGGGTGGGGTTAATGAGCCATGAAAATCATACTGTGGAGATTCCATGAAGTTGACTGGGTGATTTCAAATGCTTGTTGCACCAACAAGCGCCCATCAAATGGCAATTTCAATGAAACAAAGAGGAACCATGATAAATTCAAGAATTACATTTGAAGGATAAGCTGAGTGAAGATTGACCATCAACATGATCAATATAGCCTGTCAGCCAACTACCTTCAGCGTGTTTGCACCAAGAAACACGTAGATATCGATAGACATGTGCAAAATAAATCAACACACACACATACACATCTATCCATCCTATCCTACTCTACCCTATCCTATCTATCTAATTTAATATATTTAATCCAATCCAATCTATCTATGTATATCTATATGCATATTCGTGGTAATTACCATGGTAATTACCAGAGAAATTTTCAGACCATCCAGGGCCGCCGACCCATCCTTTAAGGATCCATCCGGATCCACCCAGGAAATGAGGCGCTTGCGCCAAAGGGGATTTCCTGGGATACCCTAGGGTAAACTTCCGTTAAAAAATGACGATGTGGAACATCAACATCATCAACCATCTAGCTGTTTTTCATGGGGAAACCATGGCTTTTCCACATCTAAAGCTGCAAATCCATAAATCCTAGGGCCCTAGGGTTTGCTGATCATCTATCCACCTTGGTCCACAGATTCCTTGCCAAAGCGCAAAGTCATCAGGACGATCAGGTGTCTCCCAAGTGCGGGGATGGACTGCATCAAGAAGTTTGGCGTTGTGTTCGTCCAAAGGCCAAACGCCAACCTGGCCGAGGTGCAGCAACTGCGGTTTATAGCGGTGTAGCCCACACGTAGCTGGGGTTTATCATGATTTGTCCATATTTTCCATATTCATTGAAGTATACCCACAATTTTCTATATTTTTCCATATTTGTCACTGGTTTTGTCCACATCTTTCAGCATTTTCCACGTGTTTCACTGGTGAACATCACCGGTCCCACTCTCAGATTTCACCGAAAAACATGCTCCGAACCATTCGGCACTGGGCCGTTTGCTTGGACTTCACGCCAGCTTCGCTTCGCCATGGACGGCAGCTGGAGCCAAGCGGGCTGGGAAACCCACCGAAGCAGGAGGTTTATGGGAAAGTCATCTGGAATTGAGAGATTTTCCACTGCCATCTGTGAAAAGTCAGAGGATACCATCTGTGATTGCCAGGGGATAATCTGGGCTCATAATCAACAGTAAGAGAACTGAGCGGTTCATGAAAGCCATCATTTATATAAAGACTGTATACAAATCAGGGTGTTCAACAACAATAATGGCGAAGGATCAGCAACAGTGGCAATTTGGCAATAAGTCATGAGCCGTGAAGAATCTGCAGGAAACCATGGCTTTTCTTATGACTTTTTGGGGGCTAAGACCTGCAATCTTCCCCTGAAACCAAGTCTGGGATTGGTGGTCCGCCACCGCCACCGTGGATCAATCTATCCATTTTGGGATGAGCAAAGATCTCTGGTGACGCAGCAGCTTTCATCAACATTACAACATGACCCCAGAATCGCTGGTGTTTTGGGCCAACAAAATGACCTTTAACATGGAGATTCTTGGAGTACGAAGTTTGTTCCCCGTCTCTGGCAATTGAGCATAGCGACAGTGGGCGTCTGAAAATGGGAGACCCGAAAATTCACAATGAATCATGAAATCTTGGGGTATGATCTTTACCGGAGCTTCATCATCATACTTCAGTTGGTACGATATTCTTCTCCTAGAATTTCATGGAAATTCCCCATATAAAATGGCCATAACTGGCATTTTCTCCCCCATTTTCTCAGGAATTTCCCTTGTGAGGCCCTTTCAAAAGGCTGACCCTGGCTACGTCCTGCTGAAGGCTCAAGGACCAACGCGACTCCAGGAGCTGAAGCCTGGGATTTTTTCGAACAGGATTCCCCGTTCTTGGGGGTAGAACAATAATACACCACCATAAACCACCATTATTTACTAACCATTATATTGGTATAATACCCTAATGGTGGTTCATTATTAATAATGTGGTATGGTTATTTACCGGTTTTAACCATCATGGTAATATATATAATGTAGTATACTCCCATAGCAACACATTTGGAAATGGCAAACATACCACCTATAAAAAATGGTGATGACTGGGGGATGGTTTATGACATTGTTTTACCCACATTAGTAGAACCCCTGAAGATAAAATCAACCAAAAACGGTGGTTTTGAAATGTTTTGAACACTGCTTAGTGGTGTACTTTTGGGATGAGTTTTGCGATGTAAGCCCCGTTAGAAACTGGTCAGTAACTGTATTGTTGACAAACTATTTATGGAATAACCAGGGTTATTGACCACGCACTAAGTGGGATGAACCTCCAAGCATGTATATATATATATGTGTGTGTGTAAATATATACTAGCTCTAATATTAGAATTGACTCGCTGTTACATATATAATTATGTGTCAATAGCTCTGTGGAACTATAATCAACTGGTAGGTTATACTATATACCCTTTGGTTATTTAACATAGCCATGGAAAATGGCCCATTTATAGATGGTTTACCATTAGAAATTGTGATTTTCCATGGCTATGTTAAATAACCAGATGGTATATGTTGATTTCTTTATCTATTTCTTTATATCAGGTGTGAAATCTGTATCACTGTGCACACACACATATCCAAATCAAATGCTAGAAATATGTACTGTATATACAGGATCTTGCAAACATGGCTGAATAGGATACACAAACAGGATGTGCAAGATACCCTCTGATAATTTAACGTAGCTATTGGAAATTGCCATTTATAGTGGATTTACTCATTAAAAATAGTGATTTTCCATAGCTATGTTAGTTTACCAGAGGGTAGATTTATTGATTTTATTGTGTCTAGAACTGGTGCTGGAAATCCTAGGGTCAAAACCAGCCATTCAAGCCCTGGAAATCCTGGTTAGCAAAGCCCTATTTGAGGATCTCAAAGGATTAGATTTGCCCAGCAAACCAACCATAATTTCAATGGATTGGTTTAAGGGAAAATTTGCAGGAAAGCCCCATATTTAATGGGAAAATCTATGGTTTCCTGTAGGTTTTCCCTTAAACCAATCCATTAGTAATTATTATGATGTATGCCTGTCCGTCTATCTATCTGCCTGTCTCCTTGCTGTTCTATCCAACTCTTCAATTCTTGTCTGATTTATCTGATCTTTTCTATCCATACAATATTCCATATTCACACACACATGCACAATGTTTCAAACAGTAAACACATATAAATCATATGTGTAATATATGTATATATAAATAGTACATAGTAGTACAATACAATAGAATAACATATAATATCATATTAATATATTACAAGGTGATATAATACAATTAATAATATCATCTAAACAACGCCTTTTTTTTGCCATCATTCAGCACTACTTCGATGCCGCCTCCTCCGCCGTTCTTCAGCTTCATCGAGGGTGGTCATCTCAAGATCCTTCTCGAAGTGATACTTGCAGAAGGGCGGCACTAGGACCTCAAGGCTTGACATGGCTTGACCGGCCCTGAGTGGAGTCCGATGGTGGCACCCTTTTCGAACGACAAATGACCTAAGTGGAGTGGCCTAAGCCACCAAATGATACAAATAAATGGATATAAATGGATCATTCTCTGGGTGGCCTTGTGCAAGTCATTTCCAAGCAGGATGTCTCTGAATAATTTTTTGCGTCGAAGCTGTTTGTGGCTTACACCCTGCAAGTCGAGTGAAATCATGCGAAATAACAAACCCAGACAGATCCAAACAGCCATGGAACTATGTCTGAAGCCACCAGTCAGCCAGCTTTATCACACATATGTATATATATATGTATACTTAATAAATAATAATATATATAATATGTATATGATAATGCATTTATTCATATAATTGTATATATATATATATTATAAAATAATATATATATATGCATCTCATATTTTAAAATAATATATATATATATACATAATAAAACTATGTACATGATAATATATCTATAACTATATGAATAAATAACTATATATTGACATATTGTTACAATATGTTACCTCCCATTCTGCTATCCTACGAACAGTGGTCCATGCAGTCTCCTGGGTCTTCAATTCTACCCAGCCTCCTGTTCGATGCTTGCAGGGAAGGCATTCCTGCAGCCGTTTGGCCCACGGTCTGACATGACTTGTCCAACTGGTCCAGGAAAATGATGGAAAACGAGGAAAACTGGCTTCAACATGCCTGGAACCTCAAACCCAACCATCAGAAATTGGATCTTATAACATCTTATAACGCGTGCGGCATCCATTCCCTGGTGATGACTACCAAGCAAGACAAGCTAGCTAAATGATGCTAAATGGCTTAAGAATAGACACAAGCATCACGATTAATGTATATATATATATATTATGTTGGAACCCGCTTTGTAACACTTTACAAATCACAAAAAACTCGGGGCCCAATTGCCTCGGCAAGCGAAGCTAGAGCCCATTGCCTGTACTTTATCCAGGGATGATCCAGGCTTCCCCACTCACCGCCCGCATAGAGTTGAACCGGGAAGGCCCAACGGGCACCATTCGCTTCGCCGTGGCTTCCACGTGCTACCTGGGACAGCTGCGACTGAAAAGCAATGGGATGTGCGGGGATTGGGGCCCAGGCCAGCAACAAAATGTGGGCATCCTGGTAGCGCTAGTCACCACCGGACGAGGCATTCTGCCCCGGTTTTGTGTGAGAAAATGGGGTAAAAACATGTAAAAACCAAATGGTTTGTCATCATTTTCCCCAGAGTGTAGGGGGTTATACCCCATGCTTGGACAAACCCAAATGTTCACATGAAGTCTGTCTATTTCACCGTCGCGAGCGGAAGCATTCGGAACAAGTTTCGCAAGTCATAGGGGTCCCACCCAGACATCCATTGAGTTTCCGTGAAATTTTTACCATCCAGCTATTCGGGCATCTCGGTATCTGTATGGAAACCTCCAAATCTACCACAAAAAGCGAAACGGCACTGGCAATTCCGGTCCTCTCTTGCAAGCGCCTGCAGTGCGAATGGTCTGTTGATCCACTGACCCATTGGTACCTAGTGCCTGTCTCACTTAGAAACACCAGAAGGGGATTCTTAAAATGGGGGATCCCCAAGTCACCATGGCTTTCACTAAGTCATGTTCATCCATGACGACTGGATGATTTGGGTTTTCCATGGGTTTTCCCCTTTTTAGGAAACCACATACCCTCTGGTAATTTAACATAGCTATTGAAAATTGCAATTTATAGTGAGTTTTCCCATTATATAAAACTGGTGATTTTCCATAGTTATGTTAGTTTACCAGAGGGTATCACTAGTAGTCACTGTCATATCATCATCGCTCGAAAGGCCATCGCTTCTGCCTCCGCAGCGCTGCCAGTGGCGTTCGCATAGAATCCCAACCTCAGGCCGCTTTTGGACTGCCAAATAAGAGAGTAAAGTCCCAAGACAATCAAGAAATAGTGATCTTGGTTAGTTACTCAAATTCATAGTGGTTACAGTAAGCGCCATAAAATAGTGATCAATCATTTTTCACTCTTCTATCTTTTGAGAGGTATACCTGGCACCTTCTACCACCGTCCGAAAACTATGGTGAGAGACTTCGGTAAAGCATGGTGCACCAAACGTGGCCGTATACTATGTCATAATCACACCCACATATAATAAATATACTATAACATGCCTATCCTTTCATCGGACAATTCAGGCTCAGCTTCCAAGAATGACCAGAATGAACACCTCCAGCCCTTCCAAAAGCACTTTTTCAGGCTTAGGTCGCAGTTCGACACTAAGAAAAACCATGAGTTTTATGGCAGGTCTCACACGTGCCAAAAAGTGTCAGGGAATCCAGGAAGTCGTCGTTGTGCTCGGACGATGAACAACCAGCTGGTTTGCCAGCTGGAGGTATCTCTGAGCCGAGTGCCCCCTCAGACGTGCTTCATGCCGCGAGGCAAGTTGCGAATGATCGGCTGCTTTGAGAGATGGTTCAAGGCTTCCAATCCCACCTGGGCAGATAAGGCCGACATAGATAGGGGATGATGGGAGATGATGGGAGATGATGGGAGATGATGGGAGGGTTTTGAGATCTTTTGACGTGTTTTGGTTTTGACCCTAAAAGAAGGTGCACCAAAATCCAAGGCCATGATAGCAGTTCTACTGAAACCCGATGATTTCATACAGTTTCATACCTGACATACTGCGCCTGAGTGTTCGTATTCACCTTCTCATCCAGCAAGGATGATCGCACAATCTTTTCGCCTGCCAGGAGTTCCTATAGAGGCCACATGCACATGTCCATGATTGTCCATGCATTCATGCATCTATGCATTCATACATCTATGCATCTATCTTTCTATCCATCGCGGTGTCTGTATGAATAACTGCAGGCTGCAGTATACGATGTAATTTTACAGTTGATATTGATATCAATTGATAAATGGAGGTTTCCTAAAATGAATGGGAGTACCTCAAATCATCTAAAATTAGAGTAAACTGTAGTATACTATAAGGATCTATAATGAGTATAGTATTAAAAAAAACATGGGTTCTGATTGGTAAAATGGCGCCTTGGCACTGGCCGCACTCGGTCTCCTTCTTACTGGTGAAGCCCATGTTGATCTCCTCCCGCTTCCCTTGGCCGCGGTCATAGTGGACGGTGTACTCCTCAGCCCGGCGAAAAACGGGAGTTGCCATGGATTTTTGATCATTTTTTGGGTGGTAAATGTGGTAAAATGTGGTAAAATTGTGGGAGTTGCCATGTTTTTTTTTAAAACCACATTTTACCACCCAATATGATCAAAACATGTCAAACTTATGAAGGTGAATTTACTGTTTTTTTCTTGAAACAATGCTGGGACGGAACAACTGCCAGGGTACAGTATGATGGAGCTGTCTTTTTTTTGTGGGATATGGATAGATGTCTGGAAAAAATCAAAATCTTAACTTAAATTACTGTACCTATGGTGAACTAAGCTATGATATATCCAAACGGCTCTCTGGAAAATTTCCCTATCGCTTGTTTGCAAACAATAATAATGCGACGAATTTCCGTTGTCAGGACGGTATTGGAGATGAGCGGATGGAGCAAATTTCAGATGTATCCGAAATTTAAACATTGGCCGTTTTTCTTCGAGACCCAGATTCTGGAATGTAGCATGAAAAGCTGCGAATGAGGCAACCCAAAGATTTTCAAAGAAACTCACCCCCTTCACAAGCTGCTTGTGAAGCCTCCTTCAGCACTTCAAACAGCAAAGCATGAAGCACTGGGCCATCTTATGTTTGACTACCATTTCCACTTGCCATGTTTGACTACCGCAGGGTATGAAACAATCAATACTGGTATCCACCTAAGTTGCCAAGGTGCATAGAACAAAGGCGTGCCAAAGATCCACACATCGCCATTCAGTTCGGTGCCTGTTGCAAGTTGCGACAGGCACCGCGACGAGATGCCGGGTCCAAACCCAAGAGATTGGAGCACATCATCGTGTTTCAGCAAACATTTGGAAAAATAACACGTTCGGGATTTTGGGGAGTGATTTCTGATGCAAACAAACTAGCCTGTACAGGTTGTTCAAGATCAAATTTCCTCTGAACAAATTGAACGACATGGACGATGTCAGATGTGAGAGACTCGAGTCCTTTCTGGCATCGAAGCTGGAAATTTCTGGGGGATTCCAAGATGTTCATCTATTTTCTAGGTTTTCTGGACAAGTGTCTGGCTTCTTCAAGTCTGGCTTCAAAAGAAAAGTAGCCAGGGGATTCTCCCAAACTGTCCAAATCTGGACCCCAAACTCTTCCCGGATCAAGGTGACCAAGGTGCTGTAATCCATAGCACTGAAGCCCATCATACAGACCTTCTCATTCTGAGGGGTCCTGCATCCCCATTACCCAGCGGCTGCGGCTCAGAATGAAGGTGCCAATGGACCCACACAAAACTGGTGGTTGTTGGAATCTATGCTGATCCATGCATGAATTTTGAAGCTCAGCACGGATCGTGCACCTGATCTTCAATGGAAAGCCCAAGACGTCGCGAATGCTTGGAACCTGGAGCAGTTCCGCGATGTCCCACGCAGCAAAACTGAGGAGACGAGGAAGATGATGATGAGGATGATGATGATGATGATGATCAGAATGGTTGAAACCCAGCTAGAACTACGTCTCTTATTACTTTAAGGTCTGACACGGATTAGAAGGCATAGTTGCATAGGTCTTGTTGTGGGCAGTCAGGAGTGTCATGAAACCAAATACCAGTTACCCCGCATTACTCATCTATGAATTGTTCAAACATGTCCAAGAGTGGGTTGCCAGTAAATGATATATTCATGTTAAAAATCCTACTTCTCACTGGATCATTAATTAGCCAATCATGCCTTGAGTTCACCTCACCAAGAATAGGCATCATGTACATCATCTGGGATTCGCACCACCCGCACCGGAAGCGCTTAAAAGGGCACCTCGACATTAATGGCTTTCGAGAAGATGTAGCTGCTTGCAGGGATCTGCAGGATGTCCTTATTGCCTGGTGCTCAGCCAAGCAGGAGCAGAAGTCGAGTTTCTTTTTTGTGTCTCAAGAACTCTTGGGGTAGAGAACTATAAAATGAACAACCTTCCACCAACTATAGATATTTCCTATTATTTCCCTTCATTTCCTGCTTTCATAAGAACTTACTGTCCCATCTTATGTCAATTCGGGGAGCCAGACCCCAGAAACATCCAGGCTGCCCTTGGTATCGGCCACGTGAAACTTGAGCTCCGGCATCTCTTGATTGAGGTCCACCTTTTCAATCCACGAGGCGCAGTGTTCCAGCAGCAGTTGCCTTAGCGCTTGCGACATGCATCCACCCATCTGTGACAAATATAGGTTAAAACATTATGAATAATTACACAGGGACAGCTTAAACTAAATCCAACTAACTACATCTAACTACATCTAACTACACTTTCACAATTCTTTTTTAACGTGCTCTTTCTGCACGCTGTGCGGGGTAAGCAATGTGTCCAAGTCCTGTGGGGGATCCGCAATGTATTGCATCCCAGTAGCAGCGTCATTGACGGAGGAATCGTGAATTTTCCTGCATGCAGCATGGTGGGTTTGCGCTTGTATAATTCCATCTATCCGTACATTCGTGTAAGTAAAATGTATATTTAATAGATACACAGCATTTTATAGCATTGTACAATGACAAGTACAAACATTATATAATATGTGATAAATCATAATTAACTCATACAATATCCACCGCGCATATGACGCATATGATTCATATGATATCAGATTGTTGTAAAACTTTAAACCTATCAATAAACCTCAGGAATTCCTCGGCCATCTTGGGACATCCTTGGGGATCCAGGCAAACTTACCAAAAAGGTGTTTCCTGGAGCTACACCACAGGTGTTTCCTAGACCCAAAGTCTTCAAGGGAAACTGATAATGTATAATATGTATAAGACAATGCACACAAGACAAGCTGAATGTCGAAGCCAACAAGTTTGTGACTAGCAACCATTAGGCCATTAGGCAAATCACATCTACGCCTGCACCTGAAGTTGATGAGCCCTATGTGAGAGTACCCTCTGGTTGTCAAACGTGGCAATGGAAAACCCTCGAATCATTTATTAGCAAATCCTGCATTCACAGGGATTTTTCATTGCAACGTTTGATTATCGGTGGGTAACCTGTGCCAGGACGCCTTCTTCTTTTGTCATCGGCAGACCTTTCTGATCTTTTTTGCCGGCTTTGCTGGCGCTTGCTTCCCGGATCACCCCTCAGAGCAGGGGAGCTGTGCCATGCCGATCGGGTGCCAATGGATTTTCCGCTATACAACATGGGCCAGCCACGGCCACGGTTGTTCTCAACTTCTGGAATGGATCTGGTTTCAGAGGCTTCCCAACTGGCTGAATGTCGCTGAATATCAAAAACACACGGCAAATTTGCACATTGAATTATTTAATGATGTTTTTACAACTCACTCATCTGGAAATGCCCCAGCTTTGGGGGTGGTTCTCCTTCCCGACAATCATCTATGGAACTTTGCGGCTTATTGCTTTCACCCATTTCCATCCATTTCCTACGGCCTACGGCCTTGCCGGAACTAGCATCCTGACCGGCAGTAAAGATCCTCCTGTGGTTTGATCAACCAGCATTCCTGTTTGTCAAACCACCATGGTCAAACTCCATTATCTTTGCTAATGCTGTAAAATGCGCTCAAAATAATTAGTAACACACAAGAATACCATCACCATCCATCACCCAACTAACATCGACGCTGAATCATGCTGAATCACCGCTATGTTTGGGCTGGAAAGTAGTTTGTTTCCAACCCCCAACTCATGGCAGGGTCGATCTGCCAGTTGGACGCATGGTATCCATTTAATGGTTGCTCTACCTTCCAATCTTGCCATGTTTCTCCCAACCCAGAACCTACGACTCTGAACCGTCTGAACCTTGAAGGACCCCAGCTCCCCTCAAGGGCCACACCAACAAATCACAGCAGAGTTGCTCGGTTTGCCAATGCGTTTGCCGGTGACGCCGGTGGCGTTTCCTTCTCCACTTACGCCTGAGGCTCTGAATCCGAAGGGATTGCTAGGACGAGCGTGAGTTAGACCGGGTGAGCAGCGCCTACCAAAAATTGAGAGATCCTGTTTGGACTCTGGAAAGATAATATGTCGCTATAAAACGCGAAACTTGAGGCCAATGGATAAGGGATGAAAGCTGGGACCCAGCTGGGAGGGTCAGGGGAGGAGAGTAAGTCTGGTGATGCCGATGCTGACCGCGACGACTGGTGATGGCGAGGATGTCTCCAGGGGATTGATCCACGTCAAAACTGCTTGTGAAGTTTCATGTGAATGGCGATTCCAGCCACTGCCAATACCTTTAGCAAAACAAAAGCGACTTCAGCTACCAGAAGCTGGTTTTCCTATCGAAAAGCTTTGCCGTTTGCCTGGGAACACAGAGCGGAACACACCGTTTTCATGGATCGGGTGCCAAGTGGGTTTTGCATGAACATGGGCCAGCCACGGCCACGGTTGTTCTCAACTTCTGGAATGGATCTGGTTTCAGAGGCTTCCCATCTGGCTGAATGTCGCTGAATATCAAAAACACACGGCAAATTTGCACATTGAATTATTTAATGATGTTTTTACAATTCACTCATCTGGAAATACCCCAGCTTTGGGGGTGGTTCTCCTTCCCGACAATCATCTATGGAACTTTGCGGCTTATTGCTTTCACCCATTTCCATCCATTTCCTACGGCCTCGCCGGAACTAGCATCCTGACCGGCAGTAAACATCCTCCTGTGGTTTGATCAACCAATCAACCAGCATTCCTGTTTGTCAAACCACCATGGTCAAACCATGATCCATGTTCTCAATCCGTTATCTTTGCTAATGCTGTAAAATGCGCTCAAAATAATTAGTAACACACAAGAATACCATCACCATCCATCACCCAACTAACATCGACGCTGAATCATGCTGAATCACCGCTATGTTTGGGCTGGAAAGTAGTTTGTTTCCAACCCCCCCAACTCATGGCAGGGTCGATCTGCCAGTTGGACGCATGGTATCCATTTAATGGTTGCTCTACCTTCCAATCTTGCCATGTTTCTCCCAACCCAGAACCTACGACTCTGAACCGTCTGAACCTTGAAGGACCCCAGCTCCCCTCAAGGGCCACACCAACAAATCACAGCAGAGTTGCTCGCTTTGCTGATGACGTAGGGGATAGCTTTGTCTTCAATTGCCCCTGAGGCTGTGAGCAAATCCAAAGGAATTGGTGGGGCGAGCGTGGCGAGAGTTAGACCGGATGAGCCGCGCCTAGCAAAAATTGAGAGTTCGTTGTTGGATGTTGTTGGACCCTGGACAAACACAAAATATATCAAACATTATCAAAATATCAAAAAGGTTGGCCCGGGAAACCAAAGCGGCACAAAACGTTTTCATGGCATGATTTCCTGACCAGACGCATGGATCGGGCGCCAAGTGGGTGTTTTTTTGCTACTGGTACATGTGTGACTGTGTACTTGCTACAGTACTCCTTCAGTGGACTTCAGTCCGTCACAACTTCTGGAATGGATCAGAGGTTTCCCATCGGGCTGAATCTTTAAGCGCGGCACATGTTCAACAAAGGTTAGTTTGCAAGCTTCCGAGGCCTTCCGAGTTCCAGACGAACGTCCATGGTCAATTTTGGAATCATGTCAACCACAGAGTCAGCAATAGCAGTTGGCAGGGGGAAAGAGTAAATTACAGAAACATACAGGAACAATCCGCGAGCGTGTGCATTTGTGTGTGAAAAAATCGAAGTGCACAAATCACTGTTTTTGTAGGTACGGTGGCCCCAAGGGTCGCCAAAGGAAGGTGGACCGTAAGAACAGTTGCAAAAAAGCGCACGATGTAGTGATTTCTCGATTCGCAGTTCAAAATGTTAGAAAACTGATAGTCTCGAACCGGTTTTGGAAGATGAGGCCCGTGAATGCGCACGAAACTGTAGCGAGAGCTCGATATCGCGAAAAAAATATCAAAACCGAAGAGATCGGAGTAGCCCCGTTGTCAGTGCTGCGCGCACGTTGGGCGATTTTGTGTGATGCTCCTGCTATGCGGGATTGCTGTTTTTGGGGATGGTGTCACTGTCATGCACTTTGGGACTGCAGCTGGAAGTTCATAAACGAATTGGAATGGCTGTGTGAAGAGAAGAACTGGCTTCCAAAAGCTGGAGAAGTGGTAGCTCAAAGGAAAAAATAGCTGAGAGAGGGAGTAGCCCAGATAATAGGCAGCTCAGAGAAGAAGTAGGTGAGAGAGGAAGAAGTGGTTCAGTTTAGAAGTAGCTCAGTGAAGAGGTAGCTTAGCGAAGACTTGGCTTAGGAAATGGGTATGTCAACGAAGAGGTTAGCTCATTTCGTCCATTCACCATTCACGAATGATTCGCTAATTCATGATGGATTCACTCACACTGATTCACGCACTCGTTGGTTCACGAAATCATTGGCTCATTGGCTGACCCATTCACTGATTGATTCACATATTCATTGGTTGACTCATCCATTTATTGATTGACTTGTTCGTCATTGGTTCGCTCATTCATTGATTCACTCGTTTATTGACTCACAACGTCGTTGATGCACCCATTCTTTCACTAATTCATCGCCTGATTCATTGATTCATTCACCCAGTCACTCATTCGTGCCCTATTCTCTCATGTCAATGACTTCATTTCAGTGGCATCTCAACAACCTCAATCATTCATTACTTCTGCGTCTCACAAACGTTCCTACAGGCCATTGATCCCTTTTTCGAAACTTCCGCCCCGGCACGGCCGGGAAATATCTAGTATGTTCATATGATTCATATGTGTTTCTTTCAAAATCAGTCACCTGGAACTACAGTACCCCATGTTTGGGGGTGGTTCTCCTTCCCGGCAATCATCTATGGAACTTTGTGGGCTTCAAATTGTCTTCATCCATTTCCTACGAAGCATCCTGACCGGCAGTAAACATCCTTCTGTAGTTTAATCGGCCAGCATTTCTGTTTGTCAAATCACCATCTTTGGTCAAACCATGATCTATGTTCTCAAACCATTATCTTTGCTACTGCTAGTGCTCCCCTGTTAATTCCTTAATGCGCTCGAAATAACACACAAAAATACCATCACCCCAACTAACATCGACGCTGAATCATACTGAATCGCCGCTATGTTTGGGCTGGAAAGTAGTTTGTTTCCACCCCCAACTCATGGAAGGGTTGATCTGTGAGTCTGGATGGTACCATCTATAATGGTTGCTAATGGTTGCTCTACCTTGAAACACTTCCATGTTTCCCTAAACCCATTACCCTGAAGTAAAAAAGCATAAAATAACGAGTTCCGACAAACGGCTACCTCTCTTCATCTTCTCACCATTCTCCCTGAAAATGATTCCCACTTAGAAATTGCCCTCTGGTAAACGTTTACATAACTATCAAACATCACCATTTTAAATGGGTAGTAATCAACTATTTCTATGGCCATGGCTTCAATAGCTACGTTAGTCATTACCAGAGGGTAGCATCCAACTGGAGCCGCTCTCCATGGCGGACGCCGAGCTGGCCGAGCTGCTGGCTTTGTTGATGACGTCTGGCTCCACCAAGGAAGGCGCATCTGGGGAGCTGCGGGCCATGACCTCTGAGACCAAGTCCTGGAAGAAAGCTCCACTGGTTTCGACTTTTTGTGATGGCTGGTAGAAACCAGCCAAAAACGGCTTGGATTTTGATATGGTGCTCTAACATGCTCTAACACGCTTGCTGGCTTGCCTCGATATTTCGAGCATCCTTTTTTGTGATATAAATTGGGAATGTTTCAGATGGAAAATCATGGAACGTCATCTGCAAATAGATGATGAATTACTAATTACACACTGGTTATGATGAATTAGTAATTACACACTGGTTTGGGGGAACTCAGCTCAAAATAGCATCAACATGGTGAGCGCATATCATCGCCACAGAACCCATAGGAAAAAAAGTGATGTGTAAGGGATATAGAGATGTGGAATCGGGTGGAATTGACATAAATCGAGTGAAGTTCATCGAACAACTTCTTCAAGTCATGTCAGGTCCCATCTTCCAAAAAAAAGGGATACTCCCCATTTTCAGACACGCCTCACCCATATTTTGTATTATTTTGTTGCCTTCATCTCGCAATTCTTGGGGATCTTGGGTCACTGTGGGCCTAATGGATGGACAGGTCAATTTGGATTTCAAAAACTCAGCCGTACTAGAGACTATACTATACTGCAATGTGTAACTGTATATATATATATAATAATAAATATAAATAAAACCTAATAATAATATAAATATAAAATAAGTAATATTACAATAATAAGTAATAGCAATAATAATTTATAATAAGTAATAGCAATAGCGATTATAATATCTACATTTGGACAACATCACTAAATCACACTATGCTATACTATATACACTGCACATTTCCCTGCTCAATCTGATGTGAGGCGCCCGTGGTTCACCGGCCAAGATGCCATGAACTTATCGAAATCGGACTGGACCAAGTCCAAAGCTCCAGCTGGGCCCTCGATCCGGATGCCCTTGCTCCTGGGCTCATGGCAGCCCCATGGCCCAGAATCCCTGGTTGTTCTCGCCCTTAAAAGTAGCCCCTGGCCCTGAGTACTGATAACTATATGAAATCATAGGACCCATGGGATATGTTTCATGGGATACATATCAAACTGATATTTAATATGGTATCTCAGTTTGCGAGCTGGAAACCATGGCCCAAATTTAGTTCGATGATCTGCCGGGACCCACTTTTAAACGTGATTTTCGCTTGTCATGTTAGTTTGCCAGAGGGTACCCTCCAGTAAATTTACAAAACAAATGGAAAATCTGTAATTTCCTGGCTGGACATGATCCAGAAACGGACTGTTTCAAGAGCCGTTTTGGTTTACTGAACGGTTTGCCAAACGACAGCAAGTATATATATATATTTATATAGGCGTGTCAATGGGGTAAACCTTCCAACACACCTAGTATAAATCCTCCTTGATGAGCCCTTGGATTTTTGGTTTGCCCTTTTCCAGGCTTCACCTGGCAGAACAACTTCTGAGAAGAAATGGGCTGTTGCCACAAAACCGAGACATGGCAGTAGTCGTAGCAGCAGCAGTAGTAGCAGTAACAGTAGCAGTTGCATTAGCAGTAGCAGTAGCAGGAGTAGGAAGAGGAGTAGTAGGAGTAGTAGAAATGTGGTGTTTTCTTCGAGCGATTTCGAGCGTTCATCGCTTTTTGATGGCAACTGGGAAATTTATGGAAATTTCCAAAATAGGAGACCCAAGAATCTTCGCCGATGTTATTATTTTTTTAAACCGGACCCTATTTTGCCGCACACCCGTTTTGTATAAAACCAACGGTCCAACCGGTGAACCGGGCATGCATCACATTGCATGAGCCATCCATCTTTTGGGACAAACCACCAACAACCGTAGGAAGGTTGTTGGGCCTTCCTAAGCAGCAATAATAGATATATGCAATCATCCGCTAAACCATACAGAATGCCTTTGAATTTCAATTTTTAGATTTCTGAAAAAGGGGAGGACCATTCAGTTTTTCCTGACATGTCTGATGTCTGAAACTTTCGGTACCCCAACATTGATGACATTTTTTTTCGCGCCGATGGGTAGACACTCTCGCTGCAAAGAAGGCACAGATTTTTGGCTGACCTCCAGCACATGCCCACAAATTACAATCTATTTCTATGGTAAAGGCCAATTTCTGTAAAAAAAACATAGGGAAAAATATTGGTTTTCGGCACCTATATGTCATATTTTTCTGGAGGGTATTGGTATGTCTATGAGTTGATGCCACATAGGTACTGCCACTCCCAGCTGTGGGGGGCTTCAGTGGGCCCCTTCCGCGATCGACCCCTGCCAAGCTTCGTCAGCTTTTCCATTTCCTCATAGTGAGGCAGCAGGCAGCATACCCATCATACCCACTCCCCAAGAAAATGCGCGTGGTCTTGTTGGCCCCAAGTCCCAAATTCAAATTTGCCTGGGTGCAGGATGTTATGTTAATCTTCCAGTCCTTCAGGTGGCAATTGATGAATCGGAACCTTTCAAATTGTCACCATCCAGTGGGCCATTCACAAAAACTGCGATCGCACAGACTAAAGCTGACATGCAGCAAAGGCCTAGGCCCCATTGATCCCCATTCCACCACTCAACTGTTGCGAATGTTTGGGGCCAACCAAAATGCAAAAAAAACTAGCAGCTAGCAGCTAGCATAAACTACCTGGTAAGTTTGAAGGTCCAGTAATTGTGAGGGCACCTGGGCCCTTTGGACCCAGTGATTGAAAAATGTTGGCACCACACCACACCAACGCCGTGAAAAATCTGCCGGGTTGCAGCAGCCAAGTCCTTGTGGGTGTTCTTGCATCGCTGCCAGTTGTTGCACAAATCCTGGTCGGAAGCATCTTATATAATGTGAGTAACACAATGCCATAAACCAGCCATGACTGGGAATGGTAACCATACCACCCATAAAAATGGTGATGACTGGGGGATGGTTTATTATTGTTTTACCCACATTATTCTTATATGAGACCATACCTTTCTGAGAACTCCCATAAACAATGGGGAACATGATTGACCCCCTGTGAAACTGTATTACACTGTAAGGGGATCCACCTTGATCCACCATGAACAATGGGAGGCACGAAGAGGTGCAAGTGGTCACATCTTGAAGTGTCCAGTTTCACTGCTGATTTTTTTTGCTCGTGCAAGCCAGCCAAATAGCAAGTGGCTGATAGCTCCTGTGTATTAATTATAGAGTGTGTATGTGTATATTAAATATATAGAGATTTGAGATTTATGCGTGGGTACATATATATATATATATACGATTATATATATATATATGTATGGCCCAGTGTCTGATGGTCCCCCCTTCCTCGCCCCCAAGATGGTGACGGTCCCTATATCTATATGGATACACACAAGATTATACAAGTATGCCAAGCATGCGTGTATCTATATGTATAGATAAATTACATGTATGATTTTATATATGTATATATGTAAGTTCTAGACATACAGAAATATATATATATGCACATACTAGTATGTATGTATATATATATATAAATATATTCATACACCTATGCAGTATGTGCCGCTGCGCCTCGTAGAGGCTGGCGATCTGTGCTTCAGGGCCCACCACCAGCGTGGTGCCTGTGTCCGGGATGATGCTGCAGGCCGTCTCCATCTCCGGTCTCTTGTGCGCTGGGTCGCAGGTACCCATCTGGCCGGCCGGGCTAAGGGGGATATCATATATCTATTATATCTCTCTATATATAATATATCTATATTTATATTTATATCTATATCTATATCTATATCTATATCTATCTATCTCTCTCTCTCTATCTATCTATCTATCTATGTATCTATCTATCTATCTATCTTACTTATCCTATCTATCTATCTGTCTATCTATCTATCTATTTATCTATCTATCTAATCTAATCTAATCTGATCTAATATAATCTAATCTAATCTAATCTAATCTATCCATCTAATCTATCTATCTGATCTAATCTATCTATCTATCTATCTAATCTATCTATCTATTTCTATCTACCTCTCTATCTATCTATCTCTATCTATCTATCTATCTATCTATCTATCTCTATCTATCTATCTCTATCTATCTATCTCTATCTATCTATCTATCTATCTATCTATCTCTATCTATCTCTATCTATCTCTATTCTATTCTATTCTACTATTCTATCTATTCTATCTATTCTATTTATTCTATCTATTCGATCTATTCTATCTAATCTATCTAATCTATCTAATCTATCTAATCTATCTAATCTATCTAATCTATCTCATCTATCTAATCTATCTAATCTATCTCATCTATCCATCTAATCTAATCTAATCTATCTAATCTAATCTAATCTAATCTAATCTAATCTAATCTATATATCTATCTAATCTAATCTAATCTATATATCTATCTAATCTATCTATCTATCTAATCTATCTATCTAATCTATCTACCTAATCTATCTATCTAACCTATCTATCTAATCTATCTATCTAATCTAACTAATCTAATCTAATCTAATCTATCTATCTATCTATCGATCTAAGCTAATCTAATCTAATCTTATCTTATCTATTCTATCTATTCTATCTATTCTATCTAATCTATCTAATCTATCTAATCTATCTAATCTATCTAATCTATCTAATCTATCTATCTAATCTATCCATCTAATCTAATCTAATCTAATCTATCCATCTAATCTAATCTAATCTAATCTATCTATCTACCTATCCATCTATATCCATCTATATCCATCTATATCTATCTATCTATCTATCTAATCTATCTATTCTAATCTAAGCTAATCTATATTTATATCTATATCTATATCTATCTATCTATCTATCCAGTATATCTATAATATCTATAGGTACCCTGGAATTCGGAATCTAAAACCGAATTCAATGGGGGCAGAGGTGGTACACTTATACTTAGGATACTTGTGGCGCCAACAAATCGGAGCCCAGTGCAAGAGTGCAAATAATGATCGAGAATGGGATAAAATAGGCATCTCTCTCTCAAATGGATGATCACATTTGTAAAAAGTGTATAGATATGTCATTGTATGACTATTATGTGACTATATGATATACATGTAATTATTGACATAGCATGTCACTACCTCTCAGTGTAGCCCCGTGTTTCAGGAGACACCTTGAACGGCTGATCTCCAATGGAGATGCCATGGAAGTCCATGGCCCAGTGAGTCCTCCCCACGGAGGTCAAAGTCTTTGGATGACCTGAGCAAAACCCAAACAAAATCTGATCCAGATATCATTGGTTTATCAGAATCTATCTGAGTATCAAATTATATCAGAATATTGTAAAAATGATATTGTATCTATTGACACTATCTGAGTATCTGATAAATATCTGATACTCAAATAGTATCTATGATCCAGGTATCAATGATCAGAAAACATCGTTGGATCAGATGGAGTGTCAATGATTCTGAGCCCAAATAGCCACATTGGCCCAGTTGAAGGAACTTTAAAATAGTTGTTAAGTTATACATCTTTTTGGCATAGATTTGCAGAGAGTCTGCAGGCTTTTCACGGAATTTCTGGGTCATCTTCAACTTCATTTTAAGATTTACTGCCCCACTGACCTCCCACGCTGTGTGGGCCTGCAGCCACATTCGAAACCCAAAGGCGGTCTTAGCATATCCTAGCCAGTGAAATTGGGCATTATCTCGTGGTTCTTCCAAACCTCTTTGGAACCAAACCTCAGCCTCAATCTCAACATGTTTTTTTCCGCATCCGATTGCATGTCGAGGGGCGATCAGTGTGGATGCCCAAGACACCGTCTGCCCCGTGATTGAAGCAAATGGAGAAATATCTCACTTTGGCGCTGTCGAAAAAACCTCATGGCGACGGTGACGGGCAAATGTGGAGTTCAGCCATGGTCAACACGCCCAACGTTCTCCAAGAGTATGGTCGAGTATGGTCCCTATCCACCACTGGTCATCCAGCATATCCATGAACAATTCACTCAGTTGGGTGTGCCAACTATCAACCCCCATATCCCCATGCAGGTAGAATAGAGGTAATGGAGCTATGCTCATCCCACATTCCAACTGCCCGGGTCCCGCCTGGAATTTTCACCCCTTCAGGTTGACCGGGGCGTGGCTTGATTTCGGCATTGGGCCGGCCCAAGCCCAGAATTCCCTCCTTGGGGGGTTGGGAAGTCAGGAGCTTTCGAGCATTTTTTTTGAGTGCCTAACTTCAACTGAATGAAGAATGGATTGGCAGGAAACCTACAGGAAACCGTGCTTTTCTCCTCTAATATGTCCAAGTTTTGCAAGGCCACATTCATTGAGGGCCGGATGGCTTTTGGGCCTGTAACCCATTTTGTATGGTGATTCATGGAGATTTGACCAAACAAATGGGAATCTTAAGTGGGAATATGATGCATATATATATATGTAGATAGATAGGATAGACAGGATAGACAGGATAGATAGGATAGATAGGATAGACAGGATAGATAGGATAGATAGGATAGACAGGATAGATAGGATAGATAGGATAGACAGGATAGACAGGATAGACAGGATAGACAGGATAGACAGGATAGACAGGATAGACAGGATAGACAGGATAGACAGGATAGATAGGATAGACAGGATAGACAGGATAGACAGGATAGACAGGATAGACAGGATAGATAGGATAGACAGGATAGACAGGATAGATAGGATAGATAGGATAGATAGGATAGATAGGATAGATAGGATAGATAGGATAGATAGGATAGATAGGATAGATAGGATAGACAGGATAGATAGGATAGACAGGATAGACAGGATAGACAGGATAGACAGGATAGACAGGATAGACAGGATAGACAGGATAGACAGGATAGACAGGATAGACAGGATAGACAGGATAGACAGGATGGACAGGATGGAGGACAGGATAGACAGGATAGACAGGATAGACAGGATAGACAGGATAGACAGGATAGACAGGATAGACAGGATAGACAGGATAGACAGGATAGACAGGATAGATAGGATAGACAGGATAGACAGGATAGACAGGATAGACAGGATAGACAGGATAGACAGGATAGACAGGATAGACAGGATAGGACAGGATGGACAGGATAGACAGGATAGACAGGATGGACAGGATGGACAGGATGGATAGGATGGATAGGATGGATAGGATGGATAGGATGGATAGGATGGATAGGATAGGATGGAGGATAGGATAGGGTAGATAGGTAGATAGGTAGATAGGTAGATAGGTAGATAGGTAGATAGGTAGGTAGATGGTATAGGTAGAAAGGTAGAGGGTCTTAGGTAGATAGGTAGATAGGTAGATAGGGAGATAGGTAGAATGGTAGAATGGTAGAATGGTAGATAGGTAGATAGGTAGATAAGAAAGTAAGAAAGAAAAACAGATAGATAGATTACGAAATCGGAAGCGCCATGGATTACGCTGGTGGAAGGGATCTCCACAGCAAAACCGGCCGGAAGTCTATGGCAAACCCTACAAGCCAACAAGATCAACCAACAATTGACCAACGATGTAGTCAACGACTTTTATGTGAAATTGACCCTGGCCATTGCTGCATTAACCATTGAAGGCTGTGGAGATATGGATAAAGCAAAGAGATTGATAGCATTTTTGGCACCGCTCCTTCCATCATCCAGGACCATTTTCCACTTTCACTTTGTTTTGAGTGTAGTAATAGTGCCTATAGACATCCATACGGCTGTTCGAAGGGTCTTTACCGAAGACGGTGCAAAAGTCGTGTTTAGGCCGGGACCCGCTACATGATTTACATCCTATACATTGCCGTGCCTTTCAGTATCTTGTGGATCCTAGTCTGGTTGGTTGTGTTTCAACTCCTCTGAAAAATATCAGTCGGTTGGTGGGGTTATTATTCCTAATATATGGAAAAATAAAAGCCATGTTCCAAACCACCAACCAGTAGTTACTAGACAATATGAGGAGAGAGAGAGAGAGAGAGAGAGAGACCATCCTTGAGTTTTGTAGAGAACGTGCCCAGCACACGACATTCTCAACCGTTAACTTTCACATTCCCTTTGTTTACATCGCATTGAAACGTTGACCCTGCTCATGTTAGATAACTTCATTATTTTACCATTTCCACATGGGTCATACCAGTGGATGAATTATTAAAAAAACACGTTATTTCACTGGGCAATAATCGCCATGATATTTGCAGAAATAGTAACAAATGTCTCAGTCTGATACAAGGGCCAAGCCAACTGATACCTTCCGATAATCTGTTTAGCGATGGAACATGGACGAGCGGCCCGTTTGCAAATGATTTACCTATTCAAATCTATCAGTCATAGCTATAGTCATGGTTAATAGGTACCTGCGCAAATGATTGAGCTACAAAACCATGAGTACCCGCAGGTTTTTAAATGACGTAAGCCGAGTTTCAAAGTGTGATTTGATCTCCAGGCTGTGATCGTACATCAGAAGCAAACCTTGCAGCTGGCCCCATCGATTTCTACCATCTTTGCTGGGGCAAAGCCACCAAGAACATCCACTTAGGGATAGTTTATGGATAATCCTCCCAATGATTTCCGTATATTTTCCAATTCTAATAATTTCCATATTTTGTTAAAATTTATCCCATATTTAAGGCTTTACCTCGGTCCATTTCTGGTAAGTGCTTGAAATTCAGGCATTCTTTAAGCGCGCGCCAGCGTCCGTTTCAGAGATCGATAGCAAGTGGCCGTTCTCCAAGTTCGCATTGATGTGGCCAATGCTGATCTGGCGGAGCGGAACTCAGCTCTGGAAATGACTTGGCTGTCGCTTGGATTACTACCTGTAGGTAGTATAACTCCATCAAATATATTCTAATATCCCATCAACAATGGTATATTAACAATGTTGAACCTGATTGATGATCATCACTAACCATTATTCATCATTTTTGCTTCTCTGCACAATGGGATAGACAAGATGGATATATATATATAGATGGGATCCAAAAATCCTGTGCCGTCACGAAGTGGAGAACTGTTCGGATATTCGATGTTTTTCACAAAAAAGGTGCCAAGTGGAATCTTCCAACCCGGTGTGTGATGTCCTGGGAATATTCCATATACCCTCTGGTTATTTAACATCGCCATGGAAAATGGCCCATTTGTAGATGGTATATAGATGGTTTAGCTATTAAAAATTGTGATTTTCCATGGCTATGTTGAATATGTCCTGGGTATATTCCATATAACTGGGGCAAAACAAAAAAGATCTTAGCGCCTGGTCGGAAGCAATCTCAGCGCTGATCTCGCCGCTACCGAAATTCATAGCCATTCTGGCCTCAAAAACTGCGGCATTTCAATGGGAAAATCAGCGCCATTAATTGGGGAAATCTACGCCATACATGGGAGATACACCGCTGATTTCGGTGTAACATCTGGAACCGTTAAATCTATTGGATAACCCTCATTTCGACGTCCAAAAGGGCATCCATTGACATCCATTGCATCATCTCAGGGGGATGTTACCGCTTTTTGTTGCGGGATATCTTGCCGCAATGGACCAGTGATATCTGGTGATATGACGTATATATATATATATACATATATATATATATATAAGCAACATATATATATATAAATAGTTTTTTTTTCTCACTCCCTTTGTAAATGTACAAGTATGTACAAGTGTAACGTGACATCGTAGTACATGAGTACATGACATGATAATACACACAGAGATATATGGATATATAATGATATATACAGTATATATATATAGTGGATATAGCTATATATTGTTGTCTACCCCAGGTGAAAGGACCATGGCAAACCCTTCGCACCCTCCCAATCCTCCCAGCGAACCATGAACAAACGGGCATCCCCCGAGCCAAGTAGCAGGGGTAGGTCCTTTCTTATCACCGTACTGGTTCTGAGTGAAGAGTGGTACTTTGAAGGTCTTGGATGTCTTGGGCTCCACAAAGCAAGCCTCCAAAAGGGAGATCCAGCATGATGAAACACCTGTTTCACCCACTTGTTTGATTAAAAAAAGACAGCAACAGTTCCCAAAACGAAACCCGGGTGCTATGTGATGCATCTATTCATTTCGAGGATCGCTGCGTCTGCGTCTTTGACTGACTTTCTCATTAGAAGTTAGAAGGACAAATGAAGGTACTAAAACTGAGACAACAAACCAGCTAACAACTCATCCACATTCAGAGGAAACTCCTGCAGTCACTTTTCTAAAAAAAGGAGGATTTCCCTAGTGAAACCCATGTGACGCTGACCAAACTATACCAAACCAGAATTCTGCACGTGGCAGCTATGAGCATCTGAGGATTTGGTGACCGCAAGCTGCAAACCCAAACCCCAACATCTCCTGTTTTGATAAGATTGCCATTTCAACAAATTTGTTACATCCTCAGGCTCGGCCTTGCCCCACTCCGGCAAACATTGGGTGCAAACGCAATCCTTCACCTAGGGGATTGCAAACCCCGTAACTTCTACTGGGATAGTGTTCTTGAAAAAAAATGGGCCAGATGTAAAAAGGAAACCGCAGCCAAAACGCAAGGGGTGTGATCCCCTACCTACTCATTTTGAAGGTGTCTTAAGGTGTTTTAAACGCTTTTCTATTGTTTTGGGCCGCTCAAAGGGAAAGGAGGGAACCTGAAGTTTGGGTTGTACCAAAAAATCTCGGCGTTATTACAGGCAAAGAGGTGAAACTGGATATCACATGATATAAACTGATATTCTAATATATTCTAATCATATGATCATAAAAATATCCAACCAACCATAAGAACGACCCAAGGCAATGTTTGCACTCCACACGGGGTGTGTCACAAGTGATGTCCCAATTCACCGAACATGTGAAGAGTCTTCAAAGCCCATAATCCACCAGCTCGATCAACGAGGCTTGGGTCCACTGGGACCGCAAAACCGCCAGCTGTTCCTGGGGAAAATTATAACATATGATGATCAACCATCACTTTGAGGTGTTTCATGGTAAATTTCACCATGGATTCCATCTCAGAAGTTCTCTCCGTTTCCGTTTTTCCATGACTTTCATGGATTCCATCCCACTTCTCGCCGGCGTGGCTATGCAATTGTCGCTTCCGGTGTCGGCCACCAATTGGAAGCTCTGCGGTGGGTTACCAATCCTCGACGCAGAAGCCCAGATAGAACAGTCAATTCCTACTGAAATACCAAGTCTATTTTTTTCAAATAATATCTCTTATACGTCTTATACTAATATTAAATAAATATATATACCTACTGAGTCTTCAACCTACTTTTTTTTGGGTTGACAATTAAATACCTGGTATTTTCAGATTTATCACAAAAAACCGTTTTTTTTAAAAACCTGTTTTTTTGACATGTAAGGGAATTTCATTGATTTAATAATGTTTTTGAATACTTTATCACCCTGTTTCATGACTGAAGACCGATTTATTGGAGTTAACTTTATAAGTGGCTCAGCTATGTTGATGTCATTGTGAGATTCTGTAAGATTTAGCATCAAACATCATCATACCATCAATTGCAAGTTCATATTTGTGGTTCCCACTTAGACCATGACACCATAGGGTCGCATTTGAAAGCAGGGACTATTAATAAATTCATATGTGTTAACCCTGAAGTATCCTCAAGACTCATAAAATCAAATCAATTATGATTGCCAACATATTCAACTTATTCTTTTCCTATTTATCCCATGGTTCCATCCGGCTCCACGTGCCCCGCTCTGCTCGATCGAAGAGTTTTTCTCGGAGACATGAATGTCCGGGCGCCCATTGGCGCTTTGCTGGGTGTGCGAATGCCAGCCTTGGATGGCAGGTTTCAAGTTATGGATTGATTTTTAGGGCACCAGGTGATTTGTGGGACAAACCATAAATATTTCATGAAATATACTGTATTCTTCAACATTTGTTAAGAGATGCATAAAATAATAGCTGATGCACATATCAGTTGAGGAAAACAATCCGAAATTTTGTGTTTGTGTTTACTTTTATTGCGCGGCTTCGCGAAGGGATTTCCTGGCTCATAGCTGGATTGGCTTGCAAGGCTTCTTGGCGGAGTCTTGGGGTGTTAATCATGGAGTGTGAAGGCTTGGCTCTCCAATGGGAGGGCTCAGTTGAGGTGAGAGCTCAGTTGAGGGCCCATAAGCAGTTGGTGTCTCACCCTGAGACACAGAAGTTTTGCGAGGCCACTCGTCAAAACTGTGTTGACAACAAGGCTATTTTGAAACCTTGCTTGCAAAGCCTTCATGTCACGCCTGGTTTTCGTCTTCCACACCTTGAACCCTTGAAGCGCGAGATAACCTTGCTTGCCGAGAAGGTTGGCTTAAGTCTTGGTGAGCATGGCGCCTACAAGCCGGCAGTGGAACTCAAAAAACTACTTGGTTTCATAAAGAGGCGCGCAGCCAGGAAAGAAGTCACGAAGGAAAGGGTTTCAAAACACTTGGTTGTTTACTTGTTTTTTTGGTAATGCATAATATTTGCTATGATTCTTAGGGTTTACTATATCCTACTATAGCTAATACAATCAAGTTTGATATGATTTAATGATCAATATATGTTCCGGAGATATACATGAACCCACTATCTATTGATTTGACTGCTTTTGCAAACAAAAACATTTTTTCTTTTCGCTTCAATCCCTGAGGACATTCGCTTTCATGAGCTGCTCTTGATTTTGGATCCTACCCTCAAGGACATTTGGGATTGTGTGGCTTTTCAATATTGTGTATAGTCGATTCAAAAACAATATTTTAGCATTATCTTAGATGGACCTCCCCATGCTCACAGCAACTTATCACTTGCATGGCCCTCATCTCTGTGTTATTCTTTATTGCGCAGGAAGTGATCGATGCCTACATGGCTACCCGGATGGCCTCGAAGCTTGGGGCGGGCAATGATGATGATGACTTTGGATTGAACGCTGATGATGAGGATGACCCTTCAACCAAACAAGAATTCGATGAGTTCAAAAAATGGTTGGAAACCACCACTGCTAAAGCAGGTTCCTCTTCCAGTGCAACTTTGCCACCCAAGCCCGTGGTGGTCGTTGATCCCATGCCACCACCAGCGGAATTACCAAAGAAGTGCAAATGCAATGCGAACCCATGTAACTCAATTGGCTTATAGTAAGTTTGTAAACGATTTTGACCCAGTTGGATTGTGTACCCTATAGTGTTCTATTGATACAACAAATAAAAACATCTATATTATATACATAATATAGCATCTCCCAGGCAAGTGCGAGCGCTTCAGCCTTTTGAAGGACATGATTGCAGACAGGAAGCGTCAGCTTCTCTTGGCGAAGTTCTGTCCTCAGATATCAGTTCATATGCGGCCGGCTAAGGGTTAAAGCCCCAACAGAATGTCCTGTTAGCCATCAGCTTGGCATCAAACTATGGTATATTATATGTTGTTCTTCGGTACTAAAATAAATTTGTTTTCAACAATTTTGGAAACAATTATCATCAATATTTTCCTTCTTTAAGTCTTTGGAATAATGTGTGCAGATCCAAATGTTTAACGTTACCTTGGAATGCTGAGGCAACAGAATCAAGCCTCTACTGCAGCGGATTCTTCCAGATCAACATCGTCGGAATCAGCTCCAGTGGCCATGGGTTCAAAGGGAGGATCATCGACAGGAGACCAAATAATAACAGAGATGTTGGGGTTGCCATGAAGTGATGGTATTCAGATAGAAGTCAAGTGGTCTGTCCAAATGATGTTTGTTTAGAAGGTTGCGTTTTGTTTATGCACTTGATTCATATGTGATTCAAATATTTTACTTATATACAGCATCTAGTTACAATTGTATAGATTAGTTCCCCATTGGCAGGCTGAGGCCCAACATCTTATTTTTTTCACAAAAAATGTTTGTGCCTCGTTCAAGGTGTGAAGTGCTCCAGCATGATAGCACCAAGACTTCCATCGTATGCTCTGGTCAGGAGGTGGGAAACCAACAGATTCCCAAAAGGTGGCAATGGACACGGACGAGACCCAGCCCTTGCCCACACGCGAGGAGGTTGTTGCCGCTTTGGAGGAAGAGATAAATTCCGAAGAGGGTAGGATGAATTTGGAGACCCAACCTCGAAATGATCATTTCTTTTACTTTGAGGGATTGCCTGCAAAACCGCTTCCGCCCCCACCAGAGACAGCGACACATGAGTCTACTGAGCCTGAGGTCAGTGAGGTGTGGTATTTCACAAACCCTTTTTTTTTTGTGATATATTTTACATTTTTCAATCAAAGGAGTTAAATGTTCAAATTTAGTGCTTTTGTAGGTGTTGGCCATCATACCCTCTGCCTCATGCCACTTCTACTTGCACGGGTCTACCACTTTGTCCGCTCTAGGTGTTGACCCGTCGGGATCAGCTTCAGATGAAGGAGAAGAAGAAGAAGGCTGAGAATGGCAAGAACGGCAAGAACGGGAAGAAGGAACCTGATGATGGAGATCTTGATGAATCTGGTGCACCTTTGCCCCATGAGAAGCCCAAGCCGGCAGCCAAACGAAAGCCAAAAGCGCAACCCAAACGTGAGACGAAGAAAGCCAAGAGCAAAGCCAAGAGCAAAGCAAAGAAGCATGATGACTCTGAGGACATTCCACTGACTCAACCGGACAGTGATGATGATGATGATGAGATGGTGACCCCAAAGAAAAGGTTGTTCAATGCAGTGTCGGAGGATGATGGAGATGATTTTGATGGAGGTCCAGTGAAATCCAGCGCAAAGTCATCCTCATCCCCGCCAACATTCATTGACCCCAAGACTGGCAAGTCTGTGACGCTGGCCGAGGTGTTTGAAAACTACATGCCAGATCAATGGAACAAAAAGAATGCCAAGAAATCGAAGCTTGAGAAGGAAGCCACCGCTGGTAGCTCGAACAGTGCCCCCAGTCGTCCGAAAGCCAAGGCTCGCTCGAAGAACAAGACAAAGGCAAAGGCGAAAGCAGAGTCCATTCCAGAGTCTCCTAAGTTGACATCGCCGTCCATCAAGAAGGAGCAGAAGCGCCGTAAGAAGAAGGAAACCCAGGTGATTGAAACCACGGGGGATGACATGATGGACCAAGCCATGCAGGACAAGTTCAAGCACACTATCGATTCAGTTGATGGTTTTGAAAGTGATGACGTCAAGGGCTACTTGAAAAAGACCATGACCGGTGGCAACAAGCTCTGCAACCTTTCTTCCTACTGGAAGAAAACGTCTGAGGGCTCGGTAGGACTGATGACCAAGAAGAATGAGACTTGGGTGTACTTCTCATTCAAGTATGACGTGGATTGGTCCGTCAACATGTCCTTGGCCTACTCTTGTGCGTCCCTTATGGTTACTTGTTGTAATTTATGGGAAAACCATTGCATATGAAATTATGATATAAGTGATGTGATCAATCCGCCTAACATGGTTTTCTTTGTCAAAAATTATTGGCACTTAATGACTAATGACCAGCTGCACTGAACATGTCATACACTCGGAAACAAAAACAACGATACAATGGTTCTCGAAATTTATTTTGTTTTATGCATTTAACTTCAAGACTCTGGTATCTACTTGGTCATAACCATGGAGATATTATCATCAAGTATATCCCTTTCCCTGTACTCCTAGGCGGCATGGATGCTGGAGAACGAGAACAAGCTGCTGGATTACTGGGATCCGTTGTCTGATTTTCAGAAGATGTCAACCAAGTTAAAGTACAATGCCAACATGGTGGCGATGAAGTATACTAAGCGCCACGGCTAGGGCTAAGGATCTATGGTTTTTGTGTGCTGCAACATCGGCATGTTTTGCTATAACTCTCGACCTTCATTTGTTTGATTTCTATGCCAATGCTGGCTGGCCCCACATCATTTTTGATCAGAATAATCATATCAAAAAAAGACATCGTGTTGATTCAGCCGTTGGTGCAGCCTGGCTTCGGAGAAAAGCCACATGTGCGTTCAAGATCGAGCTTTGCAGATCGTAGTTTGCCAACAGCTTGCCTTAGATTTGGGGCTGGGGATGTACAGGCTGTAAGAGACATATGGTCTATGGAGCAAATCTTGTATATCAATTCCTCATCTCATTGGGATTTTACCATCTATTCAGATTATAGTCGACCATCTAAAGTACATTGTGATTTTAGTATGTTCATGTTGATTTCATAGTTTAGGTCAACATGTCGGAGCGCAGCCTGTACGAAGCGCCACGATGTTCCCATAGAACAAATTGGTGGGTTTCTGGCGGTCCCAAAGTGGTAGCTGGGCAACTTATGGGGTAAACCTCATATGTGCGATGGTGCGTCCAAGAGAAAAGTACAAGTGTTTGCATTGCATTTGTTTTCGCAACAGCCCTCTAAGATAGCAAGAAGTTCCACTTCGCAAAATGGCAAGACTATTTGGGGATATTAGATTCTTTGCCTTATTAAGATTAATCTGTTGTGGTTTCAAACAATCTTTGTTTCATCACTCAACCCAAAGCATCCCAAAGCACCCACAAGTCCCACCCACTGTAATGCTTTCCCACAGTGACACTGGTTCCAACACTCCATTCTCGCCCCGATCTCCGAGGTCAGATGCCTCCGCTGCGAGGCAACAAATGGGCAGTTAAACGAGGGCTGCTGAAAGATCCTACAAGTACGCTGGGCATGTTTGATCTAAGATATCAGTTGGTGTTGTGCGAATATTGCATTCTAAAACAGTCAAATAGAACAATCTCACAATTACGTATGTGGTTGTTGAAAGGTGTTGAGAACATCCTTGAACTTGGTTTGCAGTAGGACACTCTCGCACACCTGTCCATGTATGCGGCACTTAGGTGCCTCAAAGAGGGTTGAGATCAACAGATCAACCAATAAATTCATCAGAAATTATCAGGGTGGTATCTTTAAAATTGAAAAACATCTTGACAGCAAGATGACCTTCCGATAAGTATTCTGTGTGCTGTCCAGTTGCTTGACAACCATTTCTGCTGGCCGTGAGTAGCTGCCACATTACCTCGAGCGAAGGGCATACGTGCATGCAATTTCTATAGCAAATTTAAAACATAATAATTGTGTGACCCCAACATACAGAGTTTATCGGATGGGGTGACTTCCAACAAATACATAATACATAACAGTAAAAAACAAATGTGTTCTGACAACATCAGATTATAAGACACGAATTTCAGCTGTATCTTGACACCATGGCTTTCTCTGCTCGATTCGTGGATGAGCTCTGCTGGAGACTGAAAGAACTCTCAGCACCAAAGGCAGCCTGATTTAATTTAGGTTGAAAACAAACAACAGAAAATCATAAGGCTAATGGTTATCGATGATTGAATCCCAATGGAAAAATACATACACTAGTTTGGTTGTCTACAGGGATTTCCCGGCTGCTTCGATCCTTAGGTGCTGCTCTTTGCAGTGCTCCTTGTGATATGGACGGACCTGAAGATTGCTCCATCGCTAGAGGACTGATTTCAAAGCCTACTCTGTATTGACGTAAATCCAAATATCTATGGAATAATGAAATGGCTTTCTTCAGGATTTTCAGCAAACCCTCAAAAGAATAGCGTTTTTTATCGCCCAAAGGAAACAGCCAACTTCTCTTGGGTGGAGTTCTATGCTGGTCAAGCTGAAGCTACAAGGATGTTCAATTATGGGGGATTTCGAACGGCTAAGCTTGACCTGGTGTACATGAAATCACGTGATGCAGCACATCAGAATCCGATGGATTTGACATCAGATGCTGGGATGGGGTGACTAGATCGCAATCCTTAGTTCTAACGTTTTGGAATTTAGTCGAAACAACAAACACAGTTCAAACATATGGTTGCAAGTTATGAGAGGAACACATGTTGTGGGCACATATGTCCAAAATGTTATTGTATCATATTTGGGGTACATTTGATGGTTCATATCTGTTTTAATTCAACTAGCCTTCATGTCAAGAAAAATCCCATTGTGTTTCCTCTGCTCGAGCTTAGGACGGCCATAGCTACAGTGCTACGAGGCAATTTCGAGGAAGGGTGGCTGTGTCACTTTGGGCTGAAGTGCTCGTCATTTACAACAGTGAATGTTGGAACTTCCAATCGGTCACCATGCTCGGGATTTGGTAACACTTCCTACCGTTCAGTGAGGGAAGCTAATTTGTTGGCTTCACGGATTCTTGAACTAAACAAAATCAGCTGATTATGAATAGGCTGCAGGTTCAAAGGAAAAACAACATAGCTTTGACCACAATTAACCACAATGGGGTTACTTGGTAATGTTTTTTCCCTTGTGGATTTATTTGCTGATAGCTTCCATTGCTGCATTTCAAAGACCAAGGACTATACTACTGATGATGCTTGTGGTATGTCTTAATGGTTGCTTCCTGGTAGAGCAGCCCTTTGGGTCGTTGTTCGAATATTATCCAAGATGGAGAGATTTCATGCTGGTTCTGCGTCACTTTGGTGGACCCCATACCGTTGCTTATCTCAACCTCTTCCTGCTCTATCCCCTCCAGAGAAAGCAATGCTGACAAGTTGCATCATCAAAGCATAGCCCAAAAGAAGTAGAAATCATAGTAGGTTCCAACCTGGGAGATGTCCAAGGTCTTGAGGTAATTGTGGACACCAACCAAAAATCGAAGAACTATAAACTATGAAACCTTAACCATGAAAGTGTTCAGATCTTATCCTTTAGTTGTGCTATCAAATTATGTTTTAATATTGTATATGCTATACATTCTGTTTGAAGAAAACAAATACTATCTCCAGGGGCCCTGCTATTGCTGAGGTTCACCGTGGTACTTGGTATATGTTGCATTACGGTGGACCTACACCGAAGCGGCACATAGCTTTTGCAAACAGCATTCATGTCGCCTCTCTATGGGCTGGGAAGTTGAAGAATTGGGCAAAGACAAAGGCTAAGCTCAAGACACAGGGGAAGGCAGTGGAACTCGTAGACAAATACACGGATGGGGCAGGTAAAAGAAGGTGGAAAGGCAACAAGGCTCTACGTGGCAGTGAGTCAGGTACTTAGTTGTATGGAAACATTGCTCATCATTGCATTTTTTGTTCTCTAACCTAAATATCAACTTACATATCTTAGATTCACACTTGCACTCTTATTGTACAAGTTCTGTATCAAATAACCTCCATATTATTATCACAGAAAAGGTCATTGCCCTGTGGAATCACAAATGCAGCGGTAGACGACTATTGAATACTTTGGTTGTATTCTTATCAATGGATTACCTTCCCATTATGGATTTTACTTTTCTTTTTGTTCAACAATTGGTTTGACAGTGAGCAGGTAAAGGTTGAAGTTTGGGTCTGCATGGTCCATATCCCATTATATCCCTACTGCTCAGGAATTATCCACCAAAATTTGGATTGCGGCTGGTCGGCTTGTGGAAACGCATGGCCACTGAGAAGCGGGGAATGCCGCCTCTTCCGAACCAATTGCCTTCAGCTGAGGCTACTTTCAGTAGTCTTACGTTTGACGACTTGTGGACTGAAGCCAGAATGGATTCAGTCTGTCATTGGCTGAGGGGGGGAACATCCCTAAAGATACCTGCTTCATTTTATGACCTTTTGCCCAGGAAGTTATGATCCCTGACCACAAGTCTATAGGTTGCCAATACGAAGTTAGCACTTCAAGATATAAGTTTTTATCATCTGTGTTCATTTATGTTCAAAATAACCCGTAATTCACCGTAATTATGAAAAAAACCTGGTTTTTCCCGTAAAATACCCATAATGAGGAAAAAAAAACATATGTTTTTTCCAGTTTTACCCCGTAATTTTTACCCATAATTTGGCACCCGTAATTTTCCGTAAAATACCCATAAAATTCCGTAATTTACCCATAAAATATTATGGTTATTTTCAAAAAAAACATGTTTTTTTTAAGCTTTTTTATGTTCACTTTATGTTGATTCATGTTCGTTTTTTTTCGAATCTGGCAACCACTTTGGATATGTGGATGGCATTGGCAGCCAAATTTCAGGGATTGCTTTACACAATTAGAATTTGGTTCGTATCAATATATGCGAATCGCAATTGAACAACAATTAGCGATGATTTGCAGCATGAAATGGGAGAAAAAGAACAACACAAACCATACACTGAGGTGTCTTTATGCTCATTGAATTGGTGTCACAAATGTTTCCAACAACAATTTCTTATTTTCAGTGTTGCATACCATAGGATTTTGGGCTCCAAACGACGCTTTCTTGAGAGACAACATGTCGCTTGAGCGGGCTGGGTCGGGGGCGACCATGCTATCCAGAGCTTGGTCTACTTCGGATTTGGGAAGAGGTCTTACACACATCCTAACCGATGGAAAGAATGAACTTCCTGACGATTTGGCTCAACTGGAGGCCTTTTGGGCAGGTTGGCTATAGGTGAGCTGTCATCCTCACACCTTGTTTTGCTGGTGTTGCTTCTATTTGGACTTGGAAACTATGCTAGTAGATGTCAAAAGTTAAAGTAAAATCAAAACAGTACCTCTCCACATAGTTCCTGGCTATTGGTCGGCAGGAGCTGGAAAAGATGATTGCTGACATCGAAGCAGTAGATCAAGGAGTCAGGGACTCAACGCATCCTACAGTTACGGGTTATATCTTATATCGTTGGCAAGTTTGAAAATTATATAATGTTCTATCAGGATCTATTTGATATCTTTTTACACATAATTTTCAACTATATTCCACTATATACATTCCAAAACTTACACCCTATTAGAAGTTGAAATCTTGAATCACCCCATTGTTCATTGCTAGTGAGCGACCAGTCCACATATCGATTTTGTTGGGATGCCACTGTATGCCACCTCCAACAGCTGCCAACATACGGAATTCACCAAGCAGCGCTGGGCCCACCCTGTGCTCAGGAAGTTGCCTTGGCTGAGCTCATGAACGTGAACACAGTGGTTTCTAGTTTGCAAGACCTGAACTGTATGTGGATGATTTAAGAATCAAACAGTGTGAGCATGCAAATAACATGGGGGTCTTTAATACAAATCAAGATCTACTTGCAGTACAAACCTTGAGGAGCGTTAAGTCACACATGCTCTAACTAATGCTCTCACAAGATGCACCGGTTGTTTTTGTTAACTTTAGGTTAGGAATATATATTATATCTTTCAACCAGAGTGTGTTGATAATTAACATTGTTTCCCGCTTAAGGCTACACCTCAGCGTCGTGAAGACCCTGGTCTACCAAATGTTGCAGAACCTGAGCGACATGATACTGTGCCTGCAAGTGATGAGGATGTCAAGGGTTCAGCGGCAGGTTCACCCTCAGGTGACTCTACACTTAGAGTTGCTTCGCCACCATCCCCTGCTTCCTCGTTGCCACCGTCGGCATCTAGAGTGGGTGAAAGTGATGTCCTTTGATTCAATCATATTTTTTTGGTTCAACCCCGTCAGGATTTAGACAATACATCGGCTTAAATCACCAGCGTTTCAGAAAACATATTTTGTCTTTCCATGTCTTTCCCAAAAATAAACGATGTGCAATTTCTCAACATAATTCACCATATACAACTGCCTTGACAACAGCTGTGTTTGTCAACCTGAGGTGATGAACCGCATCGTGACGATGTGGCAATCTGGCACTATCGATGCCAATGTTGCTATGCAGCTCTTGGGTCAGGGGTTATCACCCAATGAGTCGCCCCCGGTGGATGGGGGTAAGGGGGCCACCCCTGCAGGAGACAATGGTTTGCCCCAGAAGAGACCAGCTGATAGCATCACCCCGTCAGTTGCCCCCGCAGACTTGGATGATGTACTTGAACAGGCCAAAAAAGCCAAGATGGAATCTTGATTAGTATAAGTTCCACGTGTTTTCATTTGTCAAAACTGTTATTATGTTATTATTATATGCTAAGTTCCCAAAAGTTAGGTTATCTTACCATCACCTGAGATGCTCCCAAACACGGCTACTTAGGAAGAAAATGCACTGAAAGCGAAGCTTCGCAGGTTATGCGAAATCAAAGCCAATGGAAAATGTAATGTGCCAGATTGGCTTCACCAGCAGTGGAAACACGGGGATCACATGGCCATGGCGCTGCAATTTCAGCGGTGCAATTTCGACAAGGAGTGTGTTGTTTTTCTCTCCGTAAGCCAAGTTGCAATGACACCATGCTACCAGTTGTCGTAGCAAGATCCAGTCCAATCAGGATATTGATCAGCCAGTCAAAGTTGATCCTTGCAGGACGCTTTCATCAAATACACCGAGAAAACGACGACAAAGAAAGACACGACCACCAACGATTTGGAATTTGGGTGGTACTCCAAGGATGACATGGTGAAGGTTCTCAAATGGAATACGATTCTTCCATCAGAAATATTTTTTTTGTACTACACCTTCGGTAGCATATGTTTCGATATGTTGAACTAAAAAACAAGAACCCACGAACTAAGACATTGCCAAGAGTTCCCACTTACCACTTGTTTCCAATACCTATTTTTTTTTGTCTGGAGCCTTCCAAATTCAAATCCCAGGAAGAAAATTGAAGGAGCAATCAAGTGTTGCGAGAGAGATCCCAAGAACCTGATCAGGAATGGGTGGGTTACCAAAATAGATCATATTATGTTTCAATGTAGTTGACCACAAACAATCTCACAGCCCGTTTGTTTACTTTTTGTTTTCTATTATATATACCCTGTAGGAGGTGCAAATATGGTGGCGAAGATGAATACCATGTTGATGTGCGTGAGACGGGAAAACACAAGCAATCCAATGAAAATGCTGAGTCCACAGTGGAGCGAACCCAGGACCGCCCCTGCTCCAGCCATGTAGCAGTAAGTATCCAAGAGTCTTGATGACATACCCCAAAAAAGTTCGTGAAATCAGCAGTCCACCATATCCGCATCTCACCTGCCAGGGCGACGACAAGAGCGAGCTGCAGAGCGTCACTCTTGAACGACTTGATCTTCAAGCAGCCCGCAATGCAGCTGCCACCAGTGCTCCAGTGGTGGAAGCTTCTGAGGCAAGACTCACCATATCTACTATAAAAAAGATAATGGAACATGATATTGGTAAGATTTCACTTGTCAAAATAAATTATATTGATGTTACCTGGTATCAATCTATGTTGCGTATTTGGAGCCCAATGCCAGCTGTATTGCAAAACAATCCAAACATATTGATTCGAACATTTTAGATTGAAAGATCAAAATCATGATCAAGCATGTCAGGCATGCCGGGCCAAAGAAGTCTTTCGCAAGTTTGTGGATTCGGTTCTTCAAAAAAGTGCCCGAGTCAGATCCTTGACGGTGGACTTGAAAAAAAAACTACTATGAAGACGAAACAGCAATGAAGATACTTAGCTACCATCATAGTTCTGATTGCTTTGCATCTTTTTATTTTTTTTTGTAGGATACCCGAACTCGATTCTCACCCAGCCTTGATGGCATGGACCATTCTGATCGACTAAGGGCTGTAGAGGCCTTGGAAGGCAACTTGAAGACTCCCGATCAGGAGTACAATTCGCTCTCAGATCACATGGCAAAGGGTGAGCAAGAGGACTTTTCGCCCGAGTGGCTAGACGTCCAAGATATACATTGTATCATATAGTATATATGTTAAGATGAGTTCAACTATGTTTGCCATCAATCTTTCTGTTCGGGAGCATAGCGACACTTGTTGCTTAAATTTTGGTTGCTATGTTGATAATTTTGAAATGTAAACAATTTTCGCATTTGAATCCCAGGTGGTCCGTCCAGTCTGAGAAAGTCATGAAAGCTTCGACCTTCGTGTGCCTTTTCCTGATTTAGGGCGGTATATTCATTTCTTGGGTAAAAGGTTCTCTATTGGATAATCCCGAGGGCTGATGAAAGTTTATAAGCTCGGTATTCTTCTGATTTGACACCGCTTTTCCCAAGGTGCACCAGAGTGTCCCAGAACGAAGCCAAGGTTCGGCCTTTGACTTAGAGCTTCCGAAGTCAGCAGTCAGCGCAGATTAATGCAAATCCTTGGAAGCAGCACGTGTGTTAATGTAAAGAACCTTTGCTTGACCCTATGTCTCATTCTGTGTGCGTGTGTGTGCATAACACCTCGTTTGATGCCCTTACGAACTAAAAATCAACTGAAATCATGTTCAATCATGTGTGAATTGGTTTTGTTTATTGAAAACAGTGTCGACCCTTAGGAACGCAAAGCGCCATTTCAAGAAGGTTCAGAAAGAGCCGAAGCAAGAGGAAGCTTCCTGATTTGGCCATTCCAGATGAATGGCTGGGGGGTTGCCAACCTAAACTTGGGTTTCTCTAAGTAGGAGTTGGTGTACAATTTCTAATTTGAACATACTTGTCGTGTCAATTCTACACGACAGCAATTTGCGATCTAGGATGTCATTTCCTGAGCTTGGCATTATGCGGCCAATGGATGAATTCTAAGATGTAGCATTTTTTCTGTTGAACATTGTTGAACATAATTTGATTAGTGTTTGGTTTCGGTGCTGGGCATCAGGCTTCAAAACTTTGCCAACACGGCACCATTCATCTGCCTGATTCACATGGATTAAAAAGAAACATGCAGCTCTCAGATTGGCTGTGTTTTGCTGAAGCAGGAATCCAGCTGTAGAAAAAAAAATATGCTTACTTGCCAAATCTTCAACCTCTTTCTTAACCTCCCCATTGCCACTTTGCCAACACGGCCATGCAATGCCAGGTGTCACTGGCGCATCTGCAAAGAGATTTGCAGCGAATGTTGGCGAGGGCGCCATGCGCTCAATTCCAACTGAAAGGTATTGAGAACCTAGTGAAAAATATCGAGCTGTATGATATACACAATTCAGAATCATCATGAATCCATACTACATAAATCTACATAATAATATATTTGAATTTTCCAAAACCGGGTCAAGTTCATGCTTGCACGTTTCAAATTTGGGAAGATGCATCTTGCTTGAACCCTATATGTTTGGATCAAGGTACATCCTTCAGAAACAACACATAGTTTGGCGAGCTACATGTTTTTTTTTGGTAACCTAATGATGATCAATATTATATATATTTACTCAGGTTTTTTATGGTTCGGAAGTTCGTGCCCTTGATCCCATGTCGACTCAAACTGCAAAAGTGCTTCTAGATCTACTCGCCTGGTACATGCCAGCCCCTTGTCAAAAAAAACACGCTGGTGATGGAATCCAAGAAGTATGTGGGCTACAGTAATTAGTCCAACTTCGATGGTGTGGTTAACTTTCTGAATCAAAAACATCTTGGACCATATGTTTGGCAACGGGCTTCTGACTTAGTCATGTGGACCCGGTGTCTCTGTAACTAAGGTAGTTCATTTTGGAGCTCCATGTTCAACATTTTCCAGACAGAAGCAAGGAGGAAAATATGTGGCCAACCGCGCCTTGGCCACATTATGAATTTAGGGCGGAAAACACCCTGATGCACATGTGCACAGTATATATAATATATATGTGAATATTTGTAATCTTGCACGCATAGTAATCCAAAATAAATTATCATACATGATCTATATTCCTGTGTGTGCTCTTTGTCTTCTTGGCTCCCCATTAGATGCTGCCATATGTAACCTTGGAACATGTTCACCCACATCAAGTTCAGAAATGATGGCCCATGTGGACTGATAAAAGAACTAACACTCTGGCAAATGCATCTTGAAGATACTGTTGACAGTCATTGGCAAGATCACGTCTGAAAGTCGGAGTGCTATGTTTTTCCTGCACCTGTTCAAGTTTCAAAATCATATGTTCCAAAGCTGCAGTCGGCCCTAGCTGTTGGTAAGTTAGCACTATGTAATTTTGCGCACAGGTGTGTGTCTGCGTGTGTGTGTGGGGGTGGGAATAGGCACTTAGTAGGCGGCGCTAGTTTTGTGCTGCTGAGGTTGTGCTGGGTGCGAGAACGTCCTGAGAGAAGATCCTACAGGAAATGAGTGGGACGGTGACGGTGAGCGTATTTTTGGCATTTAAGTGGTCGACAAAATTCAGCGGCATCCTTGGAAATGAAGAGTCGCAATGATTAGTCAGTGGTATGATGCTGTGCACATGGCTCATCAGAGCGCTGCGACAACATGAGGATCATAGCCTCATGTCTTATTTGCGGCAAGTACAGGATAGGTAAGAAATTCATTGCCATTTACGTAAGCTCGATGGGAATTGAAACAAAGCGCGCGCGGTCGCATCCATTTGATCACAGCAGGGTGGAATTGAGAATGAATATTGCCTTCAAATGCCAGCCCTTTTATTGTCAAATGTATACACTCAAAGGCTCATTTTTTTCAATCGCTTGCGCGTTCTGAGGCCACCTGCAAGAGCCAGATTTTGACAGCACAAGCTGTCAAAGACGACGTCGGAGATGTTGTGGCGACCCAAAAGGGAATCAATTTGTGGTCCAGGTGTTCGCTGTCAAATTCGGAAAGAGATGTTCACCGGGTTACCAAAAAACAAAAGACTACGTTAGATGTTCCAATCAGTCACGTGACAATAGAGGATGTCAAAGTCCCATGGATTTCACCACGTGACTGGTTGATCTGGATCATTAGAAAAGGATTGTGGCCCCGATTGGCAGGTGCCCCCCTCCACCAGCATGCAGTGGCTGGTGAAATTTGGTCCAACTTTTGGACTGAATACGAAAAAATTTGTCCAGACTTTGAGTTGTTCAGCCTGCCAGACATCGACCGTTCCAAGACCGCTGCATTTATGATCCATGGTGACGAAGGCAGGACACTGAAGCGCCACGGGCTCATGGTTACAAGCATACAGTCATGCTTGGGGCTTGGGTTTGATACCAAGCACCTTCGTCGACGGGATGATGGAAGGTGGCACATGAAAGTCAACTATAAGGGTCATTCCTTCACCCATCGCTTTGTGACTTCAACTATGCCAAAAACTGTGTATGAGAGCAACCCGGCTTTCTTCCACAAGATGATGGATAAGTTGGCATTGTCATTGAGAAGCCTTTTGTTGGAGGGTGTTGTGGATCCGTTGACTGGTGACACACTTAGGGTAGCAATCATAGCAGTGAAGGGCGATGCCCCATACTTGGCAAAAATGGGCAAGTTTTACCGCAGCTACAACACCACCGTGAAGAGAGGATCTGCGCAAAGTGTCCCTAAGGGGGTCTGCCACCGATGCTTAGCAGGAACACCAGGCTTCCCTGCAGAGGAGATTGCAACAAATCTACCAAAGTGGTTGCAGACTCAAGGGATCCGTGTGCCATGGTTGTCTACACCAAGTGTAATCCAACATCTGGTCCACAGCAGAGCTGACCCTTCTACGTTTTTTCAAACTGACATTTGGCATGTGGTTCATCTTGGGTTTGGTCGATCCTGGATAGCATCTGTGGTACACTTGCTGCTACATGTCATCAATCAACCCAATCTGGATGCAAAATGGTCTTTTTTGACAGAAGATTACCGAACTTGGTGCAGGAGAAACAAAAAGCAAATGCACATCAGTGCCATCACTCCATATCTCATGAGCTATGGAGACAAAACGGGAACCATGGGCCAATTTCACAAAGGCGCACTTACAACAAATTTGATGCTATGGCTTGCGGAAATCATTGGCAAATTGCCATGTGACACCAGAAGATTGTTGCCAGAATGCCAGGAGGCGACATGTTGCATGAACAATTTGTTTGAATGCTTGTTCAGAGCGGACGCTTTTTTGAGCAAAGAAGAGTGCATTTATGTATCTGCAAAAGGCCTTCGGTTTCTTCAAGTTTATTCAAAGATGGCGAGAGCACAATTCCAGGAAGGTTGTCCTTGGAATTTTCCTTTGTACCCTAAGCTTCATGCTTACCATGAGACAATCCTTCAGGTTCAACATGATGGACAACGTGTTGGTATGGCAATCAATCCTTTAATGTTCTCGTGCCAGGTCGACGAGGACACAGTGGGAAGAACTTCGCGCTTAAGTCGCCGCGTAAATATACGCTTGGTGATGACGAGAACGCTGCAACGGTACTTAATTTCAGCTCATAGTGCTTTTGTTCGTGCGGGCCTCTTGTTGTGATGGAAGCTGAAGGGCAATGCTGGGAAAAGAAAGGATTGTGTGACAGTGGGTGCATTGGGGTGATGTGTGCGAGAGATTATGTATGCAGCAATCCTGATTCATCAACTACCATGTGTATGGTCATGAATTCCAAGGCATCCAAAAACCTTCAAGTAAGGGGAAATATAGATTAATAACAAACCCTCTAAATTACAATATTCAAAAACCAGGTTTTTTAGAATAACCTGGTTTTTTCCTTACGACCAAAAAATTGAAGGTTTTTG